ATGGCCATGGATATGGTTAGTTCGAACCCGAAACGTTATTTTTACACAAGTATTCCTAACACACAAGCAGCCGCTCAAATCAACGTCATCCAGAATTTGACATACTTCGAGCACTTGTCAGAGCCCATGGCTGAATTTCTGCACATTCTGGCTGAGACATATGACTACCCTCAACTGGCGGATGAGGTTCTACGCGAGATTTCCAACAAAGAATTCAACTCGAATGATACTCGGGGTCCCAAGTCTGTTTCTGCCTTCATTGCTAAGCTGTCCGAGTTGGCCCCTAGGCTCGTGATTAAGCAAATGACCATGTTGGCCAAACAGCTAGACAGCGAGTCTTACACGTTGCGATGCGCACTGATCGAGGTGTGCGGGAACATGATTGGCTATCTTAGTAGACAAGACGAACGCAGTGAGAACTACAAGTCGCAGCTCAATGCCTTTTTCGACGTCTTGGAGGAGCGATTCTTGGATATCAACCCATATTGTCGCTGCAGAGCTCTCCAAGTCTACATCAAGGTTTGTGAACTGGATCAGAAGTTCCCCAAGAGGCGACAAAAGGCCGCAGAACTCGCATGCCGCAGTCTCGAAGACAAGAGCAGCAATGTGCGCAGAAATGCCATCAAGCTTCTCGGAGTTCTCATAAAGACACACCCCTTCACAGTCATGCACGGTGCCCAGCTCTCTCGCAAGGAGTGGCAGGAACGCCACGACAAGGTGGAGGAAGAGCTAAATGCACTCAAGCCCCCTCCTGGCATGCCTGGATTTGGAGAAGAGAATGCCAATACTACTGTCGACAATGAGCTCTTGGACGAAGCTACTCAGGTTGATTCGCCTCAGAAGCCCAAGGCAATGACTGAGGAGGAAAAGGTTGCCGCCATTAAGAAGGCGCAGGAAGAAGCTGCCACCAGCGAGGCTATCGAAAAGCTGACTCTCACTCGACGATATTACAATGAAGCCCTTCGTTTCATTGATGTTCTGCACGACGCAACCGGCATCGTGTGTCAACTTTTAGGTGCCAGAAACAAAAGCGAGGTCATTGAAGCTATCGACTATTTTGAGATTGGCGACGCCTACAATATTGAGCAGAATAAGGTGGGCATTCGACGTATGCTCAGGCTTATCTGGACCAAAGGCAATAGTGACGAGGGCAAGGGTGTGCAGACTCATTTGATTGAGTGCTACCGGAGGCTCTTTTTCGAGGCCCCTGACTCTTTCAGCCCCAATGATGCAGCCAATTATGTTGCCCGCAACATGATCAGCTTGACATTTGGTGCTACGCCGGCAGAGCTCACATCGCTGGAGCAACTGCTTTCTACAATGATGAAAGGTGGTATCATCCCCGAAATCGTGGTGACCAAGCTGTGGCAGGTCTATGGTGTGCAGAGACGCGAAATCTCAAGGACACAACGCCGTGGTGCCATAATTGTCCTCGGAATGTTGGCTACCGCTAGTCCGGAGATTGTTGTCGATGAGATTGAGACCATGCTTCGTACCGGATTGGGTGCACACGGACGCGCAGATTTACAGTTGGCCAAGTACACTTGCATTGCTCTCAGGAGGATCAACCCTACGGGGCGCAACGCGAAGGAGTCGACGGCCAAGTTTAATAGGTTACCCAACGATCACGCCGTCCTCGGGCGGCTAGCAGCCATTGCCGAGGTTCAATCGGAGAGCAAGGAGTGGTACGGTGTTGCAGAGCAGGCCATCAATGCCATATATGCCATCTCCAAGCACCCCGATGTGCTCTGCTCTGAAATTATTCGACGCAAGACAAAGCATGTTTTTGCACAGTCACGTCCGGGATCCAGGCCTACTTCAAAAGACGAGACCAAGGGCGTGCCTGACATCACCATGAACCAGACAATGCATCAAACTGTGCAGGTGGACAAACCCAAAAGCCGTGATAACGCTGTCAACCTGTCGCAGCTTTTGTTCATTGTCGGACACGTCGCCATCAAGCAGATTGTGCACCTGGAGCTCTGCGAACTCGATTTCAAGCGTAGGAAGCAGGAGAAGGAGAAGCAGACGCCGGCCAAGACGGACAAGGACAAGGAGGATGCAGACGAGCTGGATCTCATTGGGGGCACCACCGAAGATGATTTTACCGAAGCAATGGCCCACATCAGAGAGCGAGAGTTGTTGTACGGCCCAGAATCACTCTTGGCCATCTTTGGCCCTGTAGTGTCGGAGATTTGTGCCAACAACACGTCATATGCCGACAAGGGTCTTCAGGCGGCAGCAACCTTGTGCCTTGCAAAGCTCATGTGTGTTTCATCGGAGTATTGCGAGACCAACCTACCACTGCTTATCACCATCATGGAACGGTCACCAGATGCCACAGTCCGTTCCAACGCGGTGATTGCACTGGGAGACATGGCAGTGTGCTTTAATCATCTCATTGACGAGAACACAGATTTCTTGTACAGGCGTCTCGCCGATAACGACGCGTCCGTCAAGAGGACATGCCTAATGACGCTGACATTCCTCATCCTGGCAGGTCAAGTGAAGGTAAAGGGCCAGCTTGGTGAAATGGCCAAGTGTCTCGAGGACGAGGACCGGCGCATCGCCGACCTAGCGAGAATGTTCTTCACAGAACTCAGCACCAAGGACAATGCAGTGTACAACCACTTTGTCGACATGTTCAGCTTGCTGAGTGCAGGCGGCAGAATGGAAGAAGAGAGTTTCAAGCGGATTATCCGTTTCCTGCTTGGGTTTGTGGAAAAGGTTCGTACAGTTGAACTGCCTCTTTCTTCTGGTGGGGTTCGAAAGTGTTGAACTTATTGCTAACAAGAGTTCGCGTAGGACAAGCACGCGAAACAGCTGGCTGAGAAGCTGGCAGCTAGATTACCTAGATGCGAAACGGAGAGACAGTGGAACGATGTGGCCTTTGCGTTGGGACTGTTACCGCATAAAAATGAGGAAATCGCAAAGACTGTGTCTGAGGGGTTTAAGGTTGTTCAGGCCGCTGCTTGAAGAGATTTGAAGTAACTGATGCGTAATACGAATTAATGTAAATCATGGGAGGGACTGGCATGTGGAGTTTAGGTGTACAGAAGGAGTCGGCTTCAATTTATGTTTAATGACCAAACAACTTGACCCCGCATTTGTACGCGCGTGGTAAATCATGGCTAGGCTGTCTGTGGCGATGAGGCGTGTCTCACGCTGTTGGAGATGAACTCGCTTGATCGCATGGATGAGCTATGGTGTTGGGATCCAAACACAGGCAAAACGCAAAAATAAAATAATAATAATACCCCACTCTCGGAATTTAGCCGAGAGGTAGAGAGGTAGGTGGTTTCTTGAGGTACTTGGCAAGATCGGGGTATAATGTACGGAGTATGTACAGTGTTGGAGTGGTGTGGTGGCTATGCAGTACGTCATGAGATTGAACAGATGGTGTCAAATGAACAAATCTCGGAACACAGGGTAAAAGCACGGGCGCTGTATTATATAAACTTCCTTGCACAAGGCATCTTTGTTCACCAAGAGTTATTTGCCATGGGCTTGACTGCATTAATTTTCTTTCTTTCCAACATCTTCCATGACGCCATGATGGGACAATGTCTAGGGTAGAAATAAGAAGACGACAGTGAAGGACCAGAAAGGACTGGCTGATGCAAGCGCGGGCACTCGAGAGTCTTGGCTGGTGATGGGCTCGATGCTGATTGGTCAGGCCCCACTGGTGTGCCTCGAGTGACTCCTCCTTCAGACTGACTCCCTTACAGCAACTGTGGCTGACAGACTTGGAGTACAAAAGGGCGGGGAGTTCCCAGGCTCAATCCAGGCCCAGTCCGGCCAGACAGACAGACCGTCAACGCCAACAGACACTTGTACTTGGACCGATTATTTGATAACCGGAACTGGACCCCAGGAACGGGAAACCATGTCGGTTATTACTAGTACAGGTAGCTAGGTGAAACACGTACTTGACTGCATCTCAACGCCGCACTGGACCGCGACCGCACCGCAACTATCAAGCAGATTGACAAACAGCCATATGCAACCATACCAGACCCTTTCCTCTGCTAGCGCCAGCACGACCCGTCAACTATCCTCATTCTATATTTTATTTCCCCTTTAAAAGCTGAGAGGTTATTCCTTTCCACCGTCGTCACCTGACACACCACGTGGGTATCTCCCCAGTACCTATCAAGTACCCAAGTACCTACCTGCACAGCTGGGCAAACAGCTTGCCAACTGGCAGTCGCGCGTGTTTCTCCTCTCTGGAGTCTCCACCTCAGAAAAGCTTGGACCAAGGGTCATCCATTCTGGCCAATCAGCCAATCACCGCGCCCTTGGATCGCGGTGGTTCTGTTCTTTCAAGTCTGCCGCTTCCGGGCAGGTGCGTCACGTTGTGCCTCGACCGTCATTCGCTCTGGCACTTGGACTTTGGGAGTCGATCGTTTATCCGACTCCAACAGCTTCATCACCATCCATTCGCCTTTGTCTGCGCCTCCGCCTACACAAGACACAACCACATCCCGACAACCCGACGAATTGCGCACCGGCTCTCTCTCTTTGTTTCATTTGCAGTCTGTCATCTCATCTGGGCCGACAGAGTAGAGCTGTCCCCGTTTGATCCCAAGTTCGACCACCCGAGTTCACAGCTTGCTCAGACACAAAGGCGCGCTCTGCATTACGAGCGGCGCATCGAGCGATATCTGCGTCGCGATCGCAACTGCAACTAGAAACTAGAACCGACAGGCCATGGGCTTGATCGACGCCCACGACACGAGAAGGATTGACTCTGGGGGAGATCGTTAGGTACGTGGCGCCGACATCTACCGCACAAGGACACAAGACACGACACAACAAGCTGACTTGTCATTGTCGGCAGTGTGGATGGTGACGTCCTCGTCTGACATTCCGTTTCCGACTTGTTGCTACTACTATACCCCGGTATATACCTTCAACTGTATTTTTTCCATCTTCTTTTCTTTTCACCACAACCGTTGTAATATCTTAATCCACCGCCTCTCCACACACCCAGTCGCATCATGTACGACAAACTCGTCTCGCTAGGCTCGCGCCTACACTACCCCATAACCATTACAAAACTTCTCAAGTCGCCTGGAGACTCTATTAAGAAACAAGAAATCATTATCGAGTACAAGTTTACCTGGCGGCGGAAAGTAAGCGACGATGAATGGGCCGACGAAACTACCTACACCGAATACGACAGCCCTGCCGAGGGCAAGTTGAAGGAATGGCGCATCAAAGAGGGCATGGTCATCAACGCCGACACGCCTTGTATGTTGGTCGAGGAGGCTTGTGGCCACGAGGTTCAGATCCAAGGACTGTGTAGTTTATGTGGCGCCGACATGACCGAGTTCAACTGGGCCACGGAAGAAAGGGATACTGATCGCGCCATGATCAACATGACCCATGACCAGACCGGTTTGATGGTTAGTGAGAGTGTTGCAATGAAGGCAGAGCATGATACGCAAAAGCGACTGCTTCGCCAGCGCAAGCTGAGCCTTGTTGTCGATTTGGACCAGACCATTATCCACGCCTGCATAGAGCCGACAATCGGCGAGTGGCAAAAAGATGCGTCAAATCCTAACCACGAGGCTGTCAAGGATGTCAAGAGCTTCCAGCTGAATGATGATGGACCAAGGGGGCTGGCTAGTGGCTGCACCTACTACATCAAGCTGAGACCTGGCTTGCAAGAGTTCCTCGAGGAGATTGCAACCATGTATGAGTTGCACGTTTATACCATGGGCACGCGTGCATATGCACTCAACATTGCGCGCATTGTCGACCCCGACAGAAAACTGTTTGGCAATCGCGTCATTAGCCGAGATGAAAACGGCAGCATAACTTCAAAGAGCTTGCAGCGGCTGTTCCCAGTCAGCACCAACATGGTGGTCATCATTGACGATCGTGCTGATGTATGGCCGCGAAACCGACCAAACCTTATCAAGGTCGTGCCGTATGACTTCTTCAAGGGCATCGGTGACATCAACTCCAGTTTCCTGCCGAAGCGGACAGACATTTTGCCAGCCCCCCCGCAATCCAACGGCTCGGCATTGGCGCCGAATAACAACACCAATGGCGCGAATGGCGCGTCGACTGATGTAAAGACATCGCCGCTCGAAGAAATTGCGAGAATGGGCGGAGCCGTGGACGAAGTTAGTCTGAAGATCCAAGCAGAGGAGCAGGAAAAGTCGTTGGAGAAGCAGTTAACAGACCGGCCCATGCTGCACATGCAAGAGCAGCTGGATAAAGAAGACGAGATGTCCGCTCAAGATACCGAGACTGGAGACTCGTCGGCCAACCATCCGAGGCAGCATTTACTTAACGATGACGACGAAGAGCTCATTGCGTTACAGGATCATCTCACTGACCTTCACTCATCATTCTACGAAACCTATGACCGAAGACGAGAAGAAAGACGACAATCAGAGCCCACACATCCTCCGGGGCACAGCAAACCGCGACGTAGATCATCCGTGGACGATGGAGTCGATTTATCCATGGTACCAGATGTTGGTGATATCCTCGATGAGCTCAAGTCCAATGTTTTGTCTGGCCTCGTCATTGTTCTTTCTGGACTGGTGCCTCTTGGCGTAAACATTGAAGACTCCGAGATTGGGATGCAGGCGCAGAGCTTTGGTGCCCAAGTCCTGGATAGCGTATCTCGACGAGTCACCCACTTGGTTGTATCGCTGGCGCGGCCCAGAACGAAAAAGGTGCAACAAGCGGCCAAAATCCCAAGCATTAGGATTGTAAACCACAATTGGCTCGTCGATTGCCTTAGCCAATGGCGCCGGTTGGACGAGAGACCGTACTATCTCAATGTTGCGGCAGACCGCGAGCGATCTGATGATACCACGGAGGCTACGTCTGAAGCCGAAAACGTCGAGGCGGAGGCGAGGGACCTCAAAGACTTTGATTGGGCCACTGCGGACAAGGATTTGGAGGAGTTTCTCGGTACTGATAATGACGATGAAGAAGATGAGGAGGGGGAGGACAACGATGAGGAGGAAGAAGAAGGAGACAGAGACATGGACATGGGCGATATCGTTGAGAGTGGTGCTGAAGCCGACAAGGACGGGGACACAGACAGTAGCAGGACCAACAGTCCCATAAAGAAGGGCAAGAAACGGAAACTACCTATTGAAGAAGACGAGTCGGACGGCGACGGACGTGGCATAGTGGGGGAAAGCCTTTTGGCCAAGAAGCAGCGTCTGGCTCGTAACCGCGGAGCATCCGGGCTGAGATCGGTACGAACGACCAATGGAGATGATGGCGAAGATGAGGGCAGCAGTTTGCCGACGCCTGGGCCGACTAACGACGAAGCAACGGTGGTCAGCAACAAGGCAGCCGCCACGGAGCCAGCACATGACGACGAGGGGGATGTGGATGATGATGAGCTGGAGAGAGAGCTCTTGGCAGAGCTGGAAGCGGCAGATGAGTAGAGCCGTGGACAGGCGCGGTAGAGATGTACGCGTTGGCCGATGTCTTTTTTTTTTTTCACCCAGCTTTTGTACTGTCCTGTTGGGCTGGGGAGTTTTGGGTCCTGCATATATGACTGAGCGGCAGCATGGACCGGACCGGACCGGACCAAGGATACATTGGCTGGTTTGTTAGCGCGTGTGTTTTGGGCGTATGGATGTAAGGAGTTTGGTTCAGCAAATGAGGCGGGTTTCCACTCTGGATGTATCTGGTCAATGTGGTTCAAGTGTCTATTTTCCGAGGTGCTGTAGATGGCAATGCGACATATGTGTGTGTGTGTGTGTGTGTGTGTGTGTGCGGTGAAATGGGCTCGCGTGTCAAGGTTTCTTGAATATCTGAGAAAGGATTCAAAGAAATATATGTACATTGGCAGCGATTGTATGTACTCCCACCAGCAAGAGTAGGTCAACTATGTACATGAAACCCGTGGTAGAGGCGGTAGAGGGTTTCGTTTCCCACCGCCAAGTCGTGTCTGGTCCCATCTTGACCCGTTTGACGTTGTACGCAGACCCGTGTGCCCTCACCACGTACCACCTTTCTCTCCCCTGTCCATCAATGCCTTTGTTACCGAATCGTGACTCGGCTGGCTAGGGTGCCGCCGCCGTCTGTGCATCAACGGCACCATACGTTCCCCCCTTTGCGTATACTACCCTCCACCCCCTCAACGAAAAGAAGCCCTCGTCATATCCGACCCGAAGCCGCATCCGCTCTTGTCCTCTTCCTATATTCCGCCCCCTGCTTCTTACTCACACCGCCAGGGCGCAACCACGACCCAAAAGATCTAACGGCCCGGCCCGTCCTCTACTTACAGCTGCCAACAGGCTTGGCCGTCTTCTTCGAAATGTTGCTCACATCCGGCCCCGGCTGCGGGAACATGACGTCGGCGCCCTCCACGGTGCCACACCCATTGTTCACATTGGCCACAAAGATGCTCGGCCGCGACGCCCACGCGGCCTCGGACGAGGAGTAGTTCCCCTGGCCGCCCCCCTGGACCGTGACGTGCGCGCAGTTCATGTACATCTCGCGGTTGCCAATCTTGTTGAACCACGACCAGGCAAAGAGGGCGTCGCCGGCGGGCGTGTCGGCGGGCAGGGTGAACCCCCAATCCTTGGTGAGCGGGCAGCCGCCGACAAAGGAGCGGATGACGGTGAAGGAGGCGCCGGCGTCGTAGGACAGCGAGACCTGGCACGAGCCGCCCTGGTGCGTGGCGCTGCCCTCGAGCGAGATGCTGTAGGCCTCGCCGGCGGTCCAGTTGGCCACGGACCGGCCCTGGTTGGTGTTGAGCAGCTTGTGGTAGCCCTTGCACGGGTACGCGGAGCCCGAGTCCGGGAGGGGGTTGTTCATGTCGTAGTCGACGCTGGTGGTGTAGGGGTTGTACTTGGACCGGAAGGGAGGCGGCGACGACATTTGCATGTGGGCGGTGGCGAGGCCCGCGAGGGCGAGGACGACGAGGCCGAGCTGCATCTTGAGACTTGGGCTCTTGAGACTTGGGTGCTTTTAGTTTTCTGAACGTGGATGTTGTGAGCGCTTGCCCTGGGGATGTGGGAGAACTGGTGAAGAGCTTGGTGGTGTTTGGGATCTGGGCTCGAGAGAAGGGGGAGGAAATAGTTGGTTATATATTGGTTTTTTTTGGCTTGGACATGGGCACGAGGCGGACTTTGTTTGCAACGTAACTGGCGAGGTGCTACGTCGAGGATACCGAACCGGTGTAACATGGGCAAACATGGCTCGCTCGCCCTCCTTGATGTGGTGATGGCGTCTGGTCCGTCTTGGCTGTCGTCGTGCGCCTTTGGCGGCCCGACGGAGGGAAGCACCCCGTTGCAGATGATGCGTGGGATTCTTTTAAAGTTTCAACCATGGCGGCCGCCGGCCTGGTGCCTCCCCGCCGGGTCAAACATGTCAATCAAGGCACAGCCAAGCCGTCAATGTACGAATAGCAAGTTGATTGGCACGACGGGGGCGAGCGGGAAAGGGGAACGGCCCCGAGACACTGGGGGACCATGTAAGTGGATGGATAGGGCCATGTTTCCGAGGCCGCTCCTCGAGCTGTCTGGTGGAAAGCGATGGACTCGGTGATGCTGTGACTTGCCGTAGTAGTGATGGGTGGGGGCTGCAAGAAATTAGATGGGAAAAGGGAGAATATCTTTTGCCAACGCGCCCGCATACTCGATGGTAGTTTGTCGTGGCTACGGGGGACGACGACGATGCGCCCACCGGTGCGGCGGGCAGGGCGTCATGTAACTCATGTTACACTTGTTGGGAGTTGTTACGGAATCGGTCGATCCTATGGAGAGAGCTTGCGCCGGACAATGCTCGGTGATGTCGACGGCGAGCCTACAGATACAAGACAAAACGTGGGAGATGCATGTTGCAGGCAGGTGTGAATCTGGGGAACGGGCGTCAAGCCCACATGGCGGTCCGACTGCCCGATTTGGCGGGTCGAAAACGACAGCTTCCCGACGCCCCTGGCTGGATTGGGGAAGTGGCTTGACCATCTTGATGACACGGAGCGTCTCGTGGCAGACGTGTCTATGCAGCCAGCATCTACGGACCGCGGACAAGGTTGAGGGACGGAGAAGGGACGTCGACGAGACGGACGATCGGCGGGGGTGCGTCATGCGCCGTCCCACGGCCGGGCCGGAGGTCTGGGCCGCGGGCGAAGAGAAATCAACTTGGTCGATTTATTAATTTATTGAATAGAGCAATTGTTTTGTTTTTGGAAATGATGCCCTCGGCTGACCCCCAATCAATGCAACCCTCAAGAGCCCCAAAGTCCCAAACGGGATCATCCAACGTGGCCTTCCTACCTTCTCAATCGGGAAAGGATGAGTCGTCTGGCCCGTCATGCCCTGACAACTGTTGAGCTGATCCGGGCCATGGCGGGAGTTGATAGGGCCGCAGGAGCTTGGCTGAGGCAACGTTGATTCGCATCCCGTTTGGGAGCTTGATGGCCATGGCCCTGCCTCCCGTCGTTGGCGGCGATATATTGGCTCATCTTGGCTGTCATGAGACCGGCCTGTGCAGGGTTTCTGATCAAAGGACCTGCGTTGGGGACCAATTCGCGTTACAGGACGGCCTACTATTCTCCTGTGCTGCTTGGTGTTTTTGCTTGCATCGTCAGCCCCGTGCTCATTACGCACACACGCGTCTTTCGGAATCGCCTTGGCTGGCCCGAGTCTATCAACGCCCGAAAACGCCTTCCCGATCGAGCTGTCGGGAGACGCCTTCGGGAGGCATACAGACGTGGTCGTATGCGCTTTCGGGATCAGAGTGTTTTTATGACCCTAATTCCGAGACTTGGGCTACTCGCCTCTGGCATTGTCTCACGCAATAGCAAGATGGTGCAAAAGAAGTGCTGCATTGGCAGCCCGTTCCAGTACGGTCGGGTGGACAGGTAACCATGTCATGATATTGTTGAAGCGGCTTGATTCCAACCTGATGCCTTGGCAGAGGGCCATGAATAAAAAAAGAACCTCGACTTGGATAAACAAGACACAACGAGCGTCGCTCCGATGCCGTCGGACCGGGACCAGCCCCGAATAATTTGGCCCCTTGCAGTCGAGATGCAGGCACCCGCTTCTTGGCTTTGACGGAAAAAACACCCAGTCATGCAAGGGAGTTCCCGGCTCCTCCATGAAGAAGATGGTAAGTTGTGCTCATTGTTTCCAATCAAACATGGCGTGATGAGACTGCCATCGCCTACGCATACTCTTCAGTATGATGCCACTGTCCAAACGAGTAGTGTAGAAATTCGATGCGTGAGGCGGTTCTGGCGTCTTGTTCTCCCCCTTTCTTTCATTCTTCCTCTCTTTTTCTTTGGCGCCGTCTCCGGGCAGCTATGCTAGGGAAGCCGGAGATTTCCCCTGCCTGCCATGTGTTTTCTTCTTCTTTTTTCCCTTCCTTTCTTTTTTCAAAGCAGTTAGCACATATCCTGTTGGAGTGACTGCTGTGCATATTTCCGTGCCTGCTAGAGAACAAGACAAACGACTTGGATAAAATCAAGGTACGCTAGATAGGATAACCTTGGTCGGCATCTCAGACACAGCCCTCACTGTACCGTGGCGAATTTCCTAAGCAGCAGGTGCAAGATGCCATGGCTTCAGTTATTTCAATGTTGCTACGCGGATCGAGGCTAGCCTTTGCACTTACATGGCAGACCGCAATGGTCGAGCGCAACACCGGCATCGCATACGAGAAAGCCTCGAGGGCGGATTTCACGCCATGGATGGAATAAAGGCCCTTCTCGCGAAACCCGCAGTGCCGAGTGTTTCCGCGTCGCCGTTCCCACGAGCCGATGCCGCGGACGCGGTTGGCGGAGTTGGTGTTGATGATGCAACTGCAACTGAGATCTGGTCAGGCGGCGCAATAGCGGCTTAGCGATTGGACGGAACAGAAGATGGAGCACACCTTGTTCCTGTTTTCTGCCTGCCATTGTCCACGCATGTGGCCTCGTGGCATGCGGGTTGCGTGCGGGGGAGGCAGAAGTTGAAGCATGTGAAGGGGCGGAGGAATGAAGCGACAAGGCACGATTGGGTCCATGTGAGAGATGGGTTTGACTCGAGAGTTAAAACGGTGTCTTGTCTCTCAACCCGGCGCGTGACAAGACTCACAAAAGGTACATGTGTAGGTTTACAAGCCGCCATGCCGACTGCCCTCGTTGGCAACCGCAAACAATCAACAGCGATGGGATGATGACTGGAATAGAGTCAGGCCCGGGCAGCATGCGGAAATAGCCTCGACGGCACCTCGCGCCAGTTTATTCCCACTAGAAGCGTCAAGTTCCATGTTGCGCTACCCCGGATTTCGGGGTCGACCACGGGCCCGGCGTCTCAAGCGGACGCTTCCATCCCCATGTCTCCCCGTTGCTCCGTATGCACAGCAATGCATGTATCACATCCAGCTCGATCCCGTGGCTTCGGTTTCGAAACGCCTGCGTGCCATTAAATACCCCCCGACGGTCCCTCAGGTCACCGCGGCGATGCCCTCTCTGTATGTCGTCGCCAGCGTCCACCAGACGCCCGTTCTGATCGCCTCGCCATGTCGTCCACCGCGCAGCAGCAACAACAACCTTCGCCCGCCGCCGTGCGGAAGCGCAAGACCTTCTCCCCGCTCATCCACGAAACCATCCAAGAGCCCGTGCTGCTCCGGGAGCTCCTGGTAGACGACATATACCTCCTCGGCGGGCAGTTCGCCATCCTCTGCCAGTTTGCGCACCCGGGCCTGGCCAAGGGCAGCTATCTACACTCGAGCTTCGCCTCGCGCATCCCGCAGCGGCTGCAGAACACGGCGCGCTTCCTCAACGCCGCCGTGTACGGCACGCCCGACGACAAGAGGGCCATCTTCTCCGTCATCCACTCGTACCACCGCCACGTCCAGGGCGACGGCTACGACGCCAACGACCCGGAGCTGCACAAGTGGACGGCGGCCACGCTCTTCGTCGCCCTCGTCACCGTCCAGGACGCCCTCCTCGGCGGCTTCACGCGCGACCAGATGGAGACGCTGTACCGCGAGGCCGCCGTCTACGGCACCTCGCTGCGCATGCCGCCCGACATGTGGCCGCCCACGCTCGACGACTTCTGGGCCTACTGGCACCGCAACATCGAGACGCTCGAGGTCACCGACATGGCGCGCAAGCTGTGCCGCGACCTGCTGTACCCCGTCGACCTGCCGCTGCGCATGCGAGCCCTGCTGCCGCTCGCGCGCGTCGTCACCGTCAACTTGCTGCCGGGGAGGCTGGCCAGGGAGTATGACCTGGTGCCCTCCACGCTGAGCTGGCTGCAGTTCCAGGCTGTCGCGCGCACAATGAGGCTGGCGTGGCCGTTGCTGCCGCAGAATGTGACGGGCGCCATGCACGCCGAGTACATGGAGGATTTGAAAAGGGCCGTGGACCGGATCGAGAGGACGGGGCATTGGGCGTACGAGTCGAGGTTGTGAGACGGATGAGCGTAGCGATGCGTTGGTGGGATTATGATCAAGCACGTGGCCTTGTTTGCCGTGAGATTTTGCCAATATAACTTTTTTTTTGTATGCTTTCCAAAATTCAGTGTATGATTCGACATGACTACTGAGCCTGACTACTGTGGCCTCATGGAACTGATATTGACTGCAATCTGTTTGACCTCGCCACACATGTTCACTATTTAACCTGTCACACCTCTTGTCTTCCATCACGTCGTTTCATTGCCACGCGAGTGTCGTCTGGTTGAACCTCTCCATGACGGCTTGGCGAGTTACATGGTGTTGGCCTTCTCTTCGCCGCCTCTCTTGGTGACGCGGGTGCCATCAGGCCCGACGTCGTCAACTCTGTCACGTCGTGTAACCCGAGTACCGTCAGGCTCCGCCCCGGTCTCTCCATCTCGAGTAACACGAGTGCCGTCCGGAGACTCCGCATTCGCTCGTACGCCATCATCGTCAGGCACGGCGTACGGGGCGGCACTTGCAAGGCCAAGAAGAGCTGTGGCCGCGGATAAAACTCCAATCACCTTCATAATGACCTGCTCTGTCCAACGGCGTGCGGAGTATTCGAAGATGGAATTGGATAAAAATTTGATTATGCACGTATTGCGTGTATTGGGGGAGTCGACGGGCCATCTGGCTATATTATATGCAACACCCACCTCTTCACTGCGCGGTCGTATTTGCTCGTATCTTTCGTAATTCTTATTCTGGAAAACGAGATGACCTGCTAAAGTCTGCTGCAACGGACTATACTGTGATTGGCGGATTGGATGGTTGGTGTCTCAGCCCTGCCAGTGGGAGGCGTTTGAGTAGGTGTCTCCATGTGGCTATACGGTTTGTACGAGGGACCAAAAGCCCCATGAGACGTCACGTTTTACATATAAGCTTTTTCTAGTGTATATACAAGGCAAGGTCGGAGCTTATACCTACGCCAATTGCGGGCCCGGCCCGGCGTATCGAGTCATCATGTCTTATTGTCTAAGTAGCTTTTATATAAATACTACCGGACTCAACTTGCTCATTTCGTGCAGTGACTCGTAGTCATGGTAACAGGTAGAGTGCACTTGACATCAAGTTGCCCAGCTAGCCAATCGAGGATTGGTTTCTGATTAGAGCATCCGAGGATACCGCACGATGCCGGGATTGCGCCGCACACAAAGGACCAAACCTGGTACAGCCGTGGCCATCAATGATGTTCACACATGGGGAATTCTTGGCTGTTCGCGCAGCTGGCATATGCCACGGTATCAGCCAACATATGGTGTCAAGTGCGTCTGTCTCTCCACTTGGTGTCAGGTTTCATCTATAGCCTCATGTCGCTTTATACATGTCAAGTACTACAGTCCGTTATGCCAAGCCTAACGGAATCAGTATCTGCACTGCTGTTCTAATTTCGCCGAGTCAGTGATAGAGACAGCTGTTGTATCGTGGCATCATTCACGCTATAATGAAGCTTGTTTTGTGTAAAGCACTTGACCCTTTTGGCACTAATATGTAACCTTGCCGGCACTGTGTTGGCATTGTACTAAAATCTGGCACCGTACCATTACTTGTACGGTGCAGATGATGTCAATACTAATTTTTGGCACGGCAACAGGGCTCTAGCTAGCCCTACTACTATGCCCACAATGTCGTCTTTTGCACGCCGGATAACAAGTCGGAATTTTTCCATGCGTCTTAAGCGAAGCCAAGTTATATATAAATCTTTTTGGACTCCCTTGTTCAAGTATCTTGCAGCTCCTACATTCACTTGGCCATTCATTATATTCCAAAAAGAGACAAGGCTCTCCATCTCTGCCATGCTGCTCAAGGCAACCATTGCAGCCGCAATTGCGACACTGGCTCAAACGGCGACTGCCCTGCCGCTAGAAGGACAATTCCTCCCCAGGATCTCCGGGGGAAAAGAGTCCCCCCCTGGCTCCTTTCCTTTTCTCGTTGCAATATTGAGAAATGGCGACTATTTCTGCGCTGGCTCGCTCCTTAATAATGATACCGTGCTCACAGCCGGTCATTGTTTCAGAGATGGGCACAAACAAGTTCAAGTTCGTGCCGGATCAAATGTACGTTTTGCTTCTTTACACTTGTATTGCTCAGTGGCAAGTACGACTTGTGCTAGGTAGCTCTTGTCCCTGACAACACACTACACAGGATCGCACAACAGGAGGCCAGGTCTCTAACGTGACTGGTGCCATGATGCACCCTCAGTTTGATCCACATACATGTGAGAATGACGTGGCTATAGTCAAAATATCACCAGCAGTCGGTCCAGATCTAGTGGGTGAATTCGCTAGAGTAGCGAAGAACGGCAGCTACCCCAAACCGGGCAAAAAAAGGGCAGCTGGCTGGTATGTTGTAGTAAACTCTTCCTCCCGTCTCCATCTCTAGTAAACCAATTCTTACTTTTTGTTTTAGGGGACAGATGAACCCCGGGCCTGATTTCATCCCACCATTGCCGAAAAAGAAGAGAGAAGTCGAACTCACTGCCGTGTCGTTCTCCAAGTGCCTAAAAGCATATCGACGTATGGGCTATCCATTAAAGCAAAGTATGGTATGCGTAAGAGATCGAGGCAAAACTCAGTGCGTTGGAGATAGTGGCGGGCCATTGCTTGATGCCGGTACTGGAGAGCTTGAAGGTGTAGCTTCCTTCGGCGGGGATTGTGGAAGCCACGAGTGGCCTGGCGTCTCTACCGCCGTGGGTCAAGTATTTGGCTTTATTTCGCGTCATGCTGGTTAGTTGAACTTGTCAGGTGGTGCTGAACCAACCAACCCAAATGATGCTCTACCAACCAGACCAGATAATACTTACGATGATGCGTTGGCCATTTTGCAATCAAGGTTGGTATATTAGGAAACTATGCGAGAAAGGCTATATGTGCTGTTAATAGCGGTTATTATAATCGATAGCTTCCGTATATAATTTATATCACCTTGATACATGTATGCTATCAGGTTAATTTTGGCGCCTGGCGGCTATTTAAACAGAGTACGGGGTTTAAGCGCATGTTGGCTACAGCAAAGATAGATGATTGGATTATACTTGGCGCCATGTGGACCCTCGTCGTCTTGAGCAACGCCGTGGCCTTCTCGTCCTTACCTGCACATGTGGTTGTTTCTCACAATTCATGGCTTTCTTACTGCGTCTGTCATGAATCCACACTGGTTCAGAAACTTGCGCCGACCCGTATTGAGAACTACTGCCAGACTCTTCAAACCACATCAAAGAGTGTTTCTACCGTTCAAGAGCACACCCGTGTCGACCACTGCATCGCCAGACAGCCCAGTCTTGTTGCCCGCCTCAACGCCCATTGAGGAAGAAGAGCTTCCCGGATATGTCGCTGAAGATTACTACCCGACGCGTATCGGACAAGTCTTTGAGTCGCGATACCGTGTCCTTTGCAAACTTGGTCGAGGGACTGGGTCCACTGTTTGGTTAGCCAAAGACCTATGGTGCGTTTTCTTGCAGCAACGATGAATGAACGAATGCGTGGTGCTAACACGGACATAGTCATGAACAATATCGTGTGCTGAAAGTTTGCACATTAGCCAAGAATAGCATTGTCCTGCAGCAAGCCCAGAATGAGATTGCCGTGCTGGATTACCTCAAGTCATCACCCGTGCAACAACATCCGGGCAAAGCCTTCGTCAGAACAATCTTGACCTCGTTTGAAGTCTCTGGACCCAAGGGCTCGCATCAATGCCTGGTATACCAGCCATTGGGAATGACATTCACTGAGCTGCGAAATCTCCTTCCGCAAGGGAGGATCGAAACCCGTATGCTACAGCACGCGTTGCAGATACTTCTCGTGGCCTTGGATTACCTGCACAAAAACAATGTGGTTCATACTGGTAAAGACCCTCCTCCAAAGCACAAGGCCAATGTTGTGTTTTACTCATGGAGTATATATAGATATCTCCCCGAATAATATTCTTTGTGGTGTAAAGAACCTGTCACCATTCGAGGAGCTCGAGGAAGCGGAGCGAGCACAGCCAGTCGCGCGCAAGGTGCTCCCTGATCGGGTGATATACCTGTCGCGGCAGACACCCATGACCCAGGGCGAGCCTGTTCTCTCTGACCTTGGATCCGCGAGGTTCGGGCAAGAAGAGTACCAAGGGGACATCATGCCCCTGGTCTACAGAGCCCCCGAAGTAATTTTGGACATGAAGTGGTCCTCCAAGGTAGATATCTGGTCTATGGGTGTCATGGTGAGCTCTACCACTATCCTTCGGTAGCCACTTACTTACCGGCTCCAGGTTTGGGATTTGCTTGAGGGAAGACGCCTATTCGTCGCCAAAAGAGACGGCCTTGTAGACGACGAGCAACATGTAGCAGAAATGGTATCGCTCATGGGCCCACCACCACGTGAATTCCTGCAACGGAGTAAGAAGTGTGCGGCTTATTTTGACGACTCTGGTAAGCATGATCAAGGACCGCTGCAGACGTATTAGGTATCCATTCCGTGGCTGAATTATTAGCAGGCAACTGGCTGGGATCCATCCCCATTCCAACCACGTCTCTCGAAGAGCGGGTTACTCACTTGGAAGGCCAGGACAAACAGCTGATGCTGAGTTTTGCCCGTCGTGCCTTGCGCTGGCTACCAGAGGAGCGGCCCACGGCTGAGGAACTGGCGTTTGATGATTGGTTGATGCAGCCATACTCGGAATCCAAGGATCTGGAGAAAGGTCTCGATAGTGAGGGATAGCCAAGATGTTTTTGTCGAAGAGGTTACGTTGAAACCCAGTCCAATATTGGATGGGGTCAGGGAACGGATTTCACTTCAGACCGCAACAGCCGATTAACCAAAGCCGCTGAAAGAAGCACTGTATTGACAAATTCGGCTACACTGGACACTTTTGCAGCAAGATTGGTTGAGACAACGATCGACTTGACGCCGGATTGAGCTGGAAGCTTTGGTCACTGGCCGACAAATTCGTCGGGCTCGACAGGGTTAGTTGCAGGAAGAGAAGATCCGGTGGAATGACAATCAATGAATGCACCAATTTATTAATACTTGCAGTGAGATGATATTGTGTATAGAGGTCGAGGGTTAGTTCTTCAACACTAGCTGTTGCAGCTAGGAAGGTCTGTGTGGACGGTCAATCCAGCCTGCGACTTGTCTACATCACCAATTACGGGCGTACCACCAATGAATGGAAACGGCCAAGACAAGCAGTGATTCAGACTGGAGCCAAGCCCGGGTAAGCGTTTCAGTCCATCAATAAAAGGTCCTAGTATGAATGAGAGCAGAAGGCATTGATGAAAGTGCGCCAAGAGCCTTGGTCCGTTTGTGCCGTCTTTGTTACATCTGCTGTACTCACGCACCGAGGCCTACAAAGCCGCTGCATGATGCTATTGTCGCCATAGGTACATGCAATGTTGATTGTACATTAGCACATGGGCGTGTAGCCTCTGCACTGGGAAGAAAAAAAAGGTCGGCAAGGTTGATGTTTTGTGTATACTTTGTCGACTTGGACTTCCAACAGCCAAAATTTACCATCAAGTAATGGAGAACAACCCGGCTCGTCTCCTTTTCTACAACTTCAGTCGCGACGGGCGATGTGGTGTACAACAAAGGTGGTCGCTGTGCCCCGATTGTCTCTGTCCTTGTCTTGCAGCTTCGCCGTGAACAAAAATCATCTTTGTCAACACTGGCAGCTGATCAAGGCACATGCCTCAGAGTTCAAAGACCAAGCCAAACAATCAAACAGAGCGATTTGTCTTCACGTCCCCCCCTTAAAAGCACTGCTGAATCATGAGTGTTCGATTCTCCTCTTGTCACTTATCAATTTTTCATCGTCGTTATTTCCTAGCTATTACTTTAACGATTATTTTTTTACTTGTCACGTTTAATCATCACCCTCAATAATCACTCCCTATTGTCACTTTTTGACAAACTCCGCTTTGCAACATGTTTCGGAGCATCTTGGTGGTGCTTTTGACAGCAATTTCCTACATCCTTCCTGGCGCCGGCGCAATCGAAGAGGTGGGTGTAGCAAGCTGCATGTTCGGAACGGACTTCTTCACCCTCAGCTACACGATCCGCTCGGGAGCGACGACTCTGTCTCGATGCTTTGCCGACGCGGGAGAAATGGAAATGAGCCAGAGCGACGTGGTGTCGTACTCTTCTGGCAACAACAAGGGCTGGTTCGATTACGAGCCCGGGGACGGTTATCTGTACCGACATTCATTTAACAAGAGCAACACAATTTTCATACACGGCGTTGACACAACCTGGGGGCGTGTTGTCAAGATACATATCGATTAGGCCTGGAGGTGTCTAGAGGAGCCGGGTGGTAATTTGACTTTATAACACATTCTTTAGTATTTGCCGGTGCTGATACATGAAAGATTGCGTACAGAAATGCAGTACAGTTCGAAATACATGTTGCCTTGCGCATCTTGTGTGCTTGCACTTGTGTTGTCTACGATTTGCGCTACATGTTCATTACGTGACGGAGACGACAAGTTTGCCCGGGATTAGTTAGATACCCAAACACCAATTGTAATCACTTTATTTTTATCCTTGCAGCATTTGGTGTTGTAGTGCCGATTCTGTGCCACGTTCCATGTGCAATTTCGTTTTATTCGGGGACTTATATGTATTAATTTAATAATCGATTTCAAGGTATTAAAGGTCCTTGGTTTTTAAAGAGGCTTGAAGGGACCAGAGGTCTCTATAAATACAAGAAGTCAGTGAGGGCTAGTGCCTAAGGCAGTCCTCGCCGACTCCGGGCTCTCGAGATACCTTTGTTTATTGTTGTGTAACCTTTTGTAGTCATACCTTTGGACAGGTCTTGGCCGTGTGGCACAACCAATGGAAAATCTGGTAACTGGGCAAAGGTACCCCTCTATCTGGGGAACGGATCTTGCTAAAGGGAGCAAGGCAGCTCAAACAGAGTTCACTGTGATTAGGGACGTCTCTTCATGACAACCTGCTGCCTTTGAGGCTACTTTCGACGAAGGAAAACGTTTATTTACAAGCAGCCGCAGACTCTGGGCGATCAGACCAAGACCAAGTGGAGGTACATACTGCAACCAAGAGGATCCGTAGATTCCGACGGGCCGACCGATGATAACGCCAAGCTGAATGCTGACTGCATCGAGCCCGACTCCCTGATAAAGGGTTGATAGCACAAATAGCACGACCGACCCATTTGGGGTCCAAATTTGAGTCAGGATTCTTTTGTCGGCAATATACAAATCAGGAAGGTGCATAAGCTAGATGCAACGAATGTTGACAGCAAAATGACGAGGCGGCAGCCCAAGGAAACAGGCATTAATGTTGACGACAGCATTTGCCCTGGCTCATATTAGGCAGAAGAGAAGACGAAATTGCGTTGGCGATTCTAAAAAGCACAAGTTGGCCGGAACTCCTCGAGGCTCACCAAGCACTCTGCCTCACTCCAGCTCTAGTCAATCGGAGAGACCTGGACGAAGTCGCGAACTTCCATCATGGAAGGCCTTTTGAGCCATGGATCACCAAATCAGTTCCGCATCGTCGCTGCCCCGTCGCAACCCAGGTAAGTGAGCAGCGTGGCCATACCTGCAACTTCTTGCGCAGCGCTGGTTGACCGAATCTAGATCCCCCGTTTGGCTACAGCGGGCTCAACTTATTTCAAGAGCCGGATACATACAGCTTGCCATGTGTGCCCTCTCCCTGCTTTGGATAACGGCGCAGCGTGTTCAAGCTCCCCGCTCTGCGAATCGCAAGGCCTTCAAACCACCTGGCTTACTGTACTTCGAAATTGCTGGCCATGTGCTACTTTCCGTGACTGTAGCCCTCTGGATCAGTGTAGCTATTCAGCAAGGGGAGCATTGGCCAGATGTATTGGCCCTGCTCTACATCTTGCTGCTCGGTATCCTCAGAGCAGCTCTAGGCAAAGAAGCACGCAAGACGCTGCTGAACCAAGCCAACATTATACTTGTCATGGAGATGTCGCTGCTTCTCATTGCTGAAGTATCCCCCCTAACCGTCATTGGCAACGGCTACAGGCCAGACAGATTTGTTTCGGCGGGGATGCTTGGTTTGGCGTCAGTCATGGCCGTCGCCGCAACGTCTCCGCGAGAATGGGCGCCTCCGCCAGAATGCCCTGCGATTGTTCAAGGATCAGATGTAAAGCCGGCCAAAGAAGACACATGCAGCTTGCTCGACTACTACTGCACATTTGGGAGAGTAAACAGTCTCATTAGGAAGGGATGGGCAGGCGACATCACAACGGCTGCTTTCCAGGATCTGCCGTGGAACTACACACCCGAGATCTTGTACCCTCAAATAAGCAGGCTGCGCAAAAAGTACAAAAGCACAGCCAAGACCATCTTCATGCTTATACCGGGAGAGATTATCCTTTCGACCCTTCTGGCGGGCGTCTATTTTATAACTGAGCTCTCAACACCCTTCAGCTTGTATCAACTCCTGGAATACTTGACGAACCCCGAAGACGCCGTGTTCCACCCTTATTTATGGCTGTTTGTAATGTTTACAGGAGCTCTTCTCGAGTCTGTGGCGCAGCAAGCCTTTGTATTTCTTTCCACGCGCGCCGCTATCAAGGTCAAGATGGCGCTGACTACGGAAATGTACCAGAGGGCCATGGCATCCCGGGAGCTCGAAGACGACTTCCTGAATGATGAGGCGGAGGGGTCTCCAGAATCCGAGGGATCTCGCGAGCCAGAGCACCAGGCGCAGCGCAAGTCTTCCTATGGGCAGCTGGCAAATATCATGTCCACCGATATCAACGCGGTGCAAGACGGACGAAACGTCCTCTTCATCATTGGTGGTGTCCCATGCGGTGTTACAGTCGCGCTTATTGGCATGTACAACATCGTGGGATGGCCGAGCCTCATCGGCGTCGGCGTCATGCTTCTGATGAGCCCTCTGCCGGCCTGGATCGTCAGTCACGTAGGTGGCCAGCAAAAGGCGGCAAAGGCGGCGCAGGATGGCCGAATATCCCTGTCCACCGAGTATCTCGGCGCGATTCGCGTCATCAAGTACTTTGGCTGGGAAGACGCGATTGCCAAGTATCTCCAGGAGAGCAGGGCACGGGAGCAAAAGCACATCTGGAACATGGCGCTCTTGTACACCGCCATGGGCGAAGCAGCATACCTGATTCCCATCCTGTCCATCATTGTCATATACTCCTTGTATGTTGGGGTCAGGCAGCTTCCACTCACCGCGTCCGTGGCGTTCACGACGATCCGTCTCTTGGATATTATACGAGACAACTTTAGCATGATGGCGGCCATGGCTGTGTTTGTTCCCAAGATCTCCATTTCTCTTGGGAGGCTGGATAAGTTTTATGATGCGGCCACGCCGCCAGAGTCATACCCCCAAGGACCTCTGAAGCTGGAAAACGCCACGTTTCGACGCAACAAAGGTGCAGGCTTTCTCCTCCAGGATATCAGCATTGACTTTGTGCAGGGTGGGCTGAATGTCGTCTCGGGACCGAGTGGGAGTGGAAAGACGACGTTGCTGCTCTCTATTCTTGGAGAGACCATCAAGGAAGGCGGGAGCGTTACTCGCCCCCTTGATGTGGCCTTTGCCTCGCAGACGCCCTGGCTGCAAGCGCTGTCTATACGTGATAATGTCGTCTTTAACAGTACATTTAATACTGAGCGATATGATGCTGTCATTGATGCTTGCTGTTTGCGACTAGATCTGGATGAGCTTCCTGAAGGGGATATGACGGACATTGGAGAGAATGGCTCAGCATTATCTGGTAACATGAACTGCAAACAACAAGCTGCCATGATACGAGAGCTAACAACTGGCCTGTCTAGGTGGTCAACGTGCAAGAGTCGCATTAGCTCGAGCCTTGTACTCCAGCTCGTCTCTGCTTCTACTGGATGATGTGTTCTCGGCAATCGACACAAAAACAGCATCCGGCTTATGGAACAGGGTCTTTTGCAGCGACCTTCTGAAAGGAAGGACGGTGGTTTTGGTCACACAGCAGCCATGGATTCCAGAGCAAGCCGACTTGGCCATTGCACTAGAGAGCGGTAAAATAGCAGCAATGGAGCAGAACATTGGCGTCGTGAGACAACCGAGGACTATTGCGCAAAGGGACATGGAAGGACATGTCGAAGACCATGCCGACGGGCTCAGTGGCAGCACGACGCCGATTGCTAAGCCTCTCACAGAGCGATCCAGCTCCAAAGCAGCACAAGAGTCAGAAGTAGATGAAGAGGTGAAGCTCACTGGGCTTTCTGGTCGACTGATTTGTAAGTGACTATTCTCTTGCGCAGCAGACACAAACGACTGACGCGTCCAGTCCTCAAATACATGCTCTATTTCGGCGGTCCCATAGCAGCCACTCTTATTACGCTCACTCTTGTCCTCCAAATCGGTGCCGAAATCGGCACCACCCTTTGGATGTCGCATTGGGTCGACGCCGCGGCTCAAACGGGATCCATCAACATCGCGTACTATCTCGGCATGTACGTCGCCATCAACTTTTGCAGCGTCATCGTGGCAGGAATAGCCTACATGGCCTTCATGTACGGAGGCTGGGTGGCCGCGAGGCGCCTACACGGTGAGCTGGTGAAGGGTGTTCTGAGCGTGTCGCTGTCCTGGTTCAAGGACAACCCGGTCGGACGCGTCATCAACAGACTATCCGGCGACATGGACACGCTGGACCAGTCGCTGCCGCCAGAGCTCATGCACTTCCTCATGACGGCCACGTCGCTCATCATGCAGACGGGTGCCGTTAGCACCGTCCTCCCCGTCTTCATGCTCCCTGCGCTTGTTGCTACCGTGCTGGGCGGCGCGCTGGGGGAGTTGTACAATCGCACGAATCTGACTGTGAAGCAACTGGTGGCTTCTACGCAGTCGCCCATTTTCACGCAGTTCTCAGAGAGTCTGAGCGGGCTCGTCGTTGTACGAGCGCGGAGCGAGATGCCGCGTGTGTTTGCTGACGGGCTGAACACATTGCTGTACACGTCTGCGAAGGCGGCGGGTGCGCAGAGGGAGTGTGACCAGTGGATGAAGTTTAGAATCAATACGCTGGCAGCAGTGGTTCAAGTGTCTGCCGGGATGTTGGCACTCTCTAAACAGGGCGCGATTTCGGCTGGTTTGGTCGGCTTTTCCCTGACGGCGGCGTCAACAATGAGCGCCCTCATCCTGCGGTTGGTGTTTAGCATAAACTTTCTCAACACGGAAATGCAAAGCGTACGCGTATCACCCGCTATTGCTTCATGTATTGGGAACATACTGACAACGGACTAGTTTCACCGCGTGTCGGAATATGCCAAGCTTCCTCCTGAGGAATCTGGTAAAGAGGCTGAGCAAAAGGAAAATACTGACGTTGTGTATGCTGATGCGCTGGAGCGTACAATCCCTGCCGACTGGCCGAGGAGCGGCCGCGTTGAGTTTCGCAACGTAACAGTACGATATACACTTGACGGCCCTGATATTTTAAAGGATATCAGTCTTGTGTTTAATGCAGGTGAGCGGGTGGCCATTGTTGGCCGCACTGGCAGCGGCAAAAGCACAGTAAGTACACATCTTGTTCACGGGAAAGCAAATCACGTCGTTGAGACTCATAAATTCTCTCCACGTAGCTTGTTTTGTCCCTACTCCGGTTCACATACATTGTCTCTGGGCAGATACTCTACGACGGAGTCGACATCACTGCCGTCCCACGGAAAAGGCTTCGACACGCCATCGCCACCATCCCACAAGAAGCTCTCATCTTCCAGGGCACAATTGCGTCGAATTTGGATCCGTCCGGAGAGGTTCCCCAGGAGAAGCTACAACGAGCCATCGACGCCTGCGCAACAATAGCAGCCATGCAGCAGCAGTCCAGCGGGACAGATTGCTCAGCCGCCTCGGCCGTGGTAAATGAAGTCGACTCGAGTACGGGCGAAACTGTAACTAGCTCGTCTCCAGATGCACAATTCACAGGCCGCCTTGCGCTGTCGACTCTCGTCAACACGGGTGGGGGCAACTTTTCCCACGGCCAGCGACAAGTCCTCTCTTTATGCCGCGTCCTTGTGCGCCGATCGAGGCTCATGCTCCTCGACGAAGCTACGTCCAGCATGGACTTTGTTACGGATGCTGGAATCCAAGAGGTCCTACGGAAGGATCTAGACGAGGAAGACGGCCACAGTAGATGCCTCATCACGATTGCTCACAGACTTCGTACGATGGCTGACTACGATCGAGTGGTGGTTATGGGCTCAGGAAAAGTGCTGGAAGACGGCACCCCCAGGAGTCTATTTCACAAGCATGGAGTATTTTACGATATGGTATTGCATAGCGGTGAAGAGGACTTGTTTGCTGGAATATCTTGATGGTTCGATGATTGCCCTTGTTAATGTGCGGCAATAGCGCTCATATCTCACAGAAGCCATCATATACAACAAGGTAGTCCGCAGCAAAATGTCTGGGCACCATATTAATGTGAGATAGGACATCCGTAGCCTTGGGATGGTAGGCACAAGTTCTGGGATACATCTTGTGACAAGGGCTCAGTAAGGAAGGACCTGGAATAATAGCTCAACTCATCCAATAAAGGTCTTTTAGTATGAAAGGTTCTTGGTTTCTAAAGGCCTAGATGAACCGAAGAGGTCTACTAATACGACAAGTGGGAGAGCCTCGTTCCACAAGGTCTCGTGATCGTAGCCCTGGTGTAAATGCGCGTGGCATGTACTGACAAATACGGGATGAAAGGGATCAAAACGCAGGTCGTGATCGCGAGATACAGTCGATGCAAAATACATCCCCCAATTATCGTCAGGCATCCACAGAAAATAAACAGGATGAAAGGGCAGTTCAGGAGCTTGGCGGACAATAATGAGCAGTCGTTGAGTGATATCATGGGCTGCAGGGTCCTCCAACTGGCCGCCTGACATGCATGGATGCCAATTCCCCCACGCCGAGACTGCCGGCTTCTTTGATTCTCATTCTCCTCTCTGGAGCAAAGGTTTTTTGCAAAAGGATGACCAAAGAACAAGGCAGCTGCGGAAGCACTTCAAAGATGCAGAGTACATGCTCATCACATGTCAAGCCCAAGCGGTGTGTCGGCAAAAAGGAGAGACTGCCCGCTACTCAAAGACTGGTTTCATCACGATTGTGCCATGTCAGCTAACAAACGTAGGGCCTGGCATTTCTTTTTGATGACTCTTGGTAGTCCCCCAGGTGGTCATGACTCCTGAACAAAGAGTTCCCTGAAAGCGTCTGGTCACGCGATCACGGCCCACGCTGGTGAATACAAAGCACGACCGAGACAATGGAGAATTCTCTTTCACGCATTGACCCTTTTGTCAAAATGTCTCTGTGCAGTCGTCCAGGCTTTGTGATTGCGAGCGGGATGCCAATGTGACGCACCTTGACAAACAGCTCTTTTTCTACCCACAAACGAGCAAAAAGGAAAGAAAATGCGTTTGAGTAGATGAATAGCCGTGTGAGATTTCGTGACGTGAGTGCCGTCTGGAGAATTACTTAAGTCGGGCGCGTTTTGGCAACCTCAGTCCTCCTGGCCAACATCACTGCTACCAGACATCTTCTGCACGCACGACAAACGGTCGACGGTGTGCTTTTCCCACAAATTTGCCAGCTCATCTACGCAACAAGACGGCTGTTCTCATATATTACTACCATTTGACAAGATCCTGTATTCATTTGCCATCACTACACCTATTTTGAAATGGATTCCAAATTTTCCGGAACGCTAAAACGCTTCGGCTGTGAAATGGTAGGACGAGCTGCATCTGCGGTTTGCGCCGCGACTGTGCTTGTTCTCACCATAGCGACAGTGGCCATGAAGAAGGACGGAGAGCCTCTGCTAGAGAGCATCCTCATTGTGGTAAGCTCCATGCCCATCTTGCCATCTAGTATCGAGGAAAGCTAACACATGTAGTCTGTTCTTGGGGGCCTTTGGAACGCGGCTTATTGTGTACACCCGCCTATTCGAGCTTCGCCAATCTACCGACCTGCAGTAAAACTTCAGGTGGACAGGCTTTTGTGTGTTTTGTGGGTGTTTTCCGTCCCCGCCATGGTGACGTCGTATGTCTATACAAAAGACAACTTTAGGGCAAGCAAGGAGGGTTCATTTGATATCGTAAGGGTACTTACCGTCTGGTTTACTGTTCTTGGTTTGTAAGTGGGCTTTTCATTTATCCATGTACTATTCAACACTGCTGACGGAAAGACTATAGCCTCCCCCAGTTCTGGATTGCACTTCTTTAAACGGTCCCAACTGCATTCTTAACGTGGAGCGTAAAGAGAGACCTGCGGTGCTGCTGAGAATCCGGGTGTTTCGGCATGTGCGAATGGGCGACGTGGAGACTGCCGCGACAGTATATTGCAGGTACGGCCTGAGGAGGACAAGAAGAAGAAGTTGTGCCTGGAGATGGTGATTCTGGAGCAATAAGTCGTCGAGTTGATTGTTTTGCTTTAATTACCAGAGATTGATCTGTATAATATATCCCTTATGAGCAAGAGCAGTGCTTCATGAACAGTTGTGATTCAGATTAAAACGCGGAAACACCTCTAGATTATTCTCTCCCAATTTCCCAGGTTAGAAAACGGAAATTTAGCCCATGCGTATTGTCACGACTCCTGCTCTGATAAATTGACTTATCAAAAGCTTTACGCATTCCATAGTTATTCTAGAGTCGAGTGAATGACGGCACCAAAATAAATTTTGGGTAATTTTACTTTACGGGATAGTGCGAGTAATGAAATACAATATAATACACACGCTACATCATACAATTTAAATGCAAGAGAATAATAAAATTTCCGCTAATACCAGACAACATAGGCAATGTTTAGGGTGCAAATGATGCTCGCATTTTGTGTACAAAGAAAGCTTCAATTGATACGGTTTTTACAAGACAAGTTGATTCAAGGGGGTTAGGGTTCGCCTCGTCAAGCATTATGAAGTCGAGCCAATCAAGTGCCGCCTCCAGGGCCACTACTTGAAGCAAATGACAAGGCTGTGAAATTACATGGAGAAGACGATCCTTCATGGGGTATCTTTTTTCATCCGTTTTTGCGATAAAACTCGTCTGCTACTTGGCTTCAACACGAGCGCCCATCTGGTCCCATTCGACATCAATAGGGTTATGGTTTCTTGAAAATTTTTGCCCCCCAAACCAAAGTTCAAACCTCAAATCAGCCGGAGCCAGGATCACTCGGACTTCGAACACACAAATATAGAATTTATAGCCTTTCGTCATGCATGTCCCGCGCTTTTTCTTGAGGACCAGCTGATGCTGCTCGACGCCATCAAGGTTGCTGTTTACGCGACAAAGCCTTGTCACACCGGCTGAAACAAGTTCCGTTAGCTATATTCACAACTAGCCGTGATGTTGGACGAATGAGGTCATGCATTATTATACCTTGTTTCATGCTCGTCGGGAGAAAGGAGGCCTCGTTTTGAGAAATAACGATATCTGTATCCCACGACCGGGTCGTCTCTCCGTCCGCAAGGTGGAATTCGAATTTCTTTATCAGTGGACTATTCACATCTATAACATCGCCCTGGAATGAGAATAAGATTTGAGCGTAATGGCACTTTACTATCGCGGTGACGGTAATGACAAACCTTTCGTATCATCCACTGTATTTGGTTTACTGCCCATAGCTTTTTGGAGTCAAATGGGTCTCGGATAACGTCCTCATTAAAGTGCTGGGCGGGCGAGTACACTTGCCTAACTCTTACTCCATAACTCGCACGGGCGACTCGTGTTGCAAGAACAGACAATTGGCCGCTTTCCAACTGTTGCTGGTGATCGAGAAGAAGACCGCGAACTACAACGAGTTGGGGGTCTTGACAAGGTACCACGACCGCCTGGGTAGCATTTGGATGTGGAAAGCTGGTGAGCTGTTGTTGGATACTCTGACGGACGTAAGCCGAGCTGCCTAGACCTCCCGAGAGAATGACAAACTCCTGTACCAGTCGTATAGTTAGTGTGAAACCCCCTTGTAAACGGACAAAAATTTAGAACCATACCACCTGGTCGACCTTGCCGTGTTCAGATAGCCAGTTGAGTTGTTCAATGGTTTGCTTCATGACCCCTTCGACTTGAACGTCAAAGAGGGACTGCATCTCCAGCCTAGTTACTGTTAGAATAGTTTTGTTTTCCTGCGTGTTCACACGTACATGGTGAAGACTAAACGCCCGTTTTCGACTCCAAGACCAGAGTGGTTAAAATTATGGGACACGCCATCCATGGGAATCTTGAACAGAGGCTGCATGTACACTTTTTCGCCAAACTTATGTTTGAGGGTGCGGAAGTGGTGGCTTTTAGACATTCGGACGGCAAAGTTGGCGGGAAGCTGATTACGGACGTCTGGCCAGGCATTGAGCCTCTGATCCACGAGGCGGACGAATGCGCGATCTATCAGAGTTGAGCCGATGCCGACGCCCTTGACAGCCGACATTTGTGTCATCTGCGGAAACCGGGGGTCCGTGGATTTAACTCGCATTAAACAGAGATCAGTGGTGCCGCCGCCGGCATCGACGGTGAGAAAGAGGCTGCCAGTGTTGAAGTTGATGGCGCTTGTTTTCAAGGTTGCGACAGCAGCGGCCTCGGCTTCTGTGAGGTCAACCAGTGCCGAGTGCATTGGGCCTTCTACTCCGAACCCTGCGTTGCGTATGATTCCCTTGAATGTGTTGATAGTCTCCATCCGCGTCCATGTTGTGGGCACGCTGAAGAGGAAGACGACCATTAGATCTGACCACCCGCCAGTCACCTGTCGTCGACCAATTTGCATCTCTATCGTCTCCTTGACGTGGGCGTACACTTGACCAAGATAGTCTGTCGAAAACTTTTCCGCCTCTTCGATCGTCTTGGGGGCTCTGGAGAGACTCTGCGCGGCCGCCAGGTTCGTGCTGTCGATGAATATTTTGAAGAATTCGCGCCGCAACTTGCCCGACGTGTCTTCTTGGTCGACACCGTCATCATCGGCGCACATGAAGCCCCAGGACGAAAGCGTTCCGTCGGCATTGTAGACAATGGCGGTTGGCACTTTGCGCTCAGCTCGGTCACCACTTCCGGGCCAGTCGTTGATCACTTGGATGGGAGTGCGAGGCGTTCTCCATCCTACCCCTGAATATCGCAGTTAGCCGTGTACGGGAAGCAGTTGTCAAGGTCCCATGAATATTTACCTGTGAAAGTTGTGCCCAAGTCGACAGAAACGATGACATCTGGTTGTTGGTTCATGGCGCAACACGGGACTGACTCGCTAAGGAATTTAGGCCATGATATTACTCCGTATTATAAGCAGATTGACAAAACGAGAGAGAAGTCAGGTTGCTGGACTCAGTGGTAACAAGGACACACTTACGCTTGTCCCAAATAGAACATGCATGCAGAAGTCACGCCGGCGAACTGGACGGGGAAGTGCATGTTCCCCGGTTGTTATTCCTCTATGCAGGGTCATTTCTGTTGTGTCACCAACACCTATCCGTTCTCGGATTGATGACCTTTTGGCTGAAAGTAAGCTGAAGTACCAGACCGTCTGCGTGCCTGAGCCCACACAGTGACGAATGTTTGTGCCGTCTGGTTCTTGGATAAAACACGGGCAAGTATTTTCTCATAACTCAACGGTGGCTGTCTCTTTGACAACTTCTACTTTTGACCCCCTTTCTTCCTCATGGCCCAACATACGCAGACAAGCTGCTGATTTCGTGCCCAACTTGATGCCTCGCCATGTCTTGGTCCCCATTTACCTCAACTCTCACTGTGACGCCCCCGAACGCAACCCCGACTGTCACGACGACAACTGGTTCAACATGGGTGCAAAATCCGGCCGGCGTGTCAGCAGGCCCTACGTCCTCAACAGCAATTGAGAGTAAGATTGAGAGCAGCGGCGCTTTCAGCAGTCAACAGCCCACGTCTTGGACACAGCCGGCTGGTGGAAGCCTGTCGACTAACTACACAACACACGTGAATGGATCAAATATGCAGCCGACGACAACGGCTACTAATGCTTCAATTCCTTCGTCAGGAGTCACCGCCGGCGCGGTGGCTGGGATTGCCATCGGCTGTGCTGCCATCGGTCTACTTTTCGGACTTGTCGCGGCTTGTATTCTGCTCCAACGCAAGGGAAGGCAAAAGGGCAGGACGGCGGACACGGCTGTTGTTCATCATGAACCCAAGAAGTATTCAAGCGAGATCCCGAGTGATGTTCAACTCAACCAATTCCTCCCGGAAGCCACGCCCGACCGAGATATAGCGCAGGAGGTGAGGTCGCTCGGAGGACTCATTCATCAGCATGTCGACAACTACTACCATTCCAAGCCTGTCAACGCCAGCTCCCGCAGCCTCTCGGCGACCCTGCAAAGTCTTGGATTGGCGGGCGCAACCTCGTCGTCGGCGACATATACGCAAAACATTGCAGCCTTGTGCCTAGACCAGAAAACACGACAATCTGCCTTGTGCCACGTTATCATGCGCGCGGCATTTGACAGCATCGACTTTCATTCACAGAACAGCCTCCTCCCGTCTATGCTCCCACGGCCAGTTGCCTCGTTCATACAGGCAATGTCTCCCACTGAACGCGGCCGCAGCGTTGATGCCCAGGGTGAGTCTTTGGTGGCCGAGCCAGACCAACAGAAGCCGCGCAAGGAAATATGAACATTTGAAGCTGACACAAATACACAGTAGCCGCGTTGGCCCTCCGCAAGTGGCGCAGTCTGTCTGTATTCCTCCTGCATCCCAGCCGCAGCCTTCGGACCCCTTTGCCCACCGACAACGCCACGGTCACTCTGCAGGCTGAAGAGCTGGCCAAGGCCCTCAACCCCTTTCTCCGCATCTTTGTAGAAACAGACCCTGATGTGATACGGCAGCAGGGGGCCCACCTGGAGGCCGTGATTGTGGAATGCACCAAGCTCGGCTATGTCCTCTTATCGCATCCCTGCGACTGGGGGTTGGTCACCAAGGTGGCTCCAAACAAGCAAGGCGTCACAGGTTTAGTGGTCGAGGCTGGCCTGGAGAAGCTCAGTGATCGGGACGGGCCGCCATATCCTCGGCCACGGACCGTGGTTGAAGCAGTTGCAGTGTATTATGACCCGACGGGATGATTGGCACTGGGCGGCGAACAGGACTTGAGGGGGTACAGAGCACAAGTACGTAGGATGTAGATGAAAGTACACACCTGGCAGTAGGATAGTATCTCCTTGTCACAAATGCAAGTCGTTGTCGTGGCGAGATGATATCACGGAAACCAGCAGACGCCCCTCTGTTGTGAACTGGTCTCCAGAGAGGACGGGAACGACCCAACAGACAACTCATGCACAATGCTGGCTCATGACCAATGTCTTACCGTAAAAGGCTATCCTGTTCGTTCGCAGCCACTTGGAGAATTGCGTGTGCCCCGCTGCCGTGCGTACTGTGACAATTTGAAGTATTTGTGATATATGACGAGCGAGCTGCAGAGCTACCATGACCGCGGCAGCGCAAGGTAGCCCACGGTCAGCCCGTGCCCAGTGCCTCGTCCAATCCATCCGTAACGAGTTGCGTGGGCCGTCAAACAAAGCGGACGGCCTTCAATGTTTGTGGTCGTCAATTGCGGAGGACGGCTCGCATCTCCCACCCAAAATGCAGGGCCAGGACATGATATTACCTCTCGTATGACCAAGGTTCCCATTCTGGTCAGCTCTGCAGACCCTAAAAACAAAATTAGCCTTGCTGTAGTTTGTACCACTACTGGTTCGTCGTCAGCAGCAAGCCGCCTACTCTATGCCTGCAATAACTCGTGCGACCGGCGAGTTGACACTTTCACGTCTCGTTGGAAACCAGTCAAGCGTCCAACGAGTCTGGTGATTTCCCACGTTGACATCTCCACTGCCAATAATCATGCCGCTACATGACAAACTCCAGTGATGAAAGATTTGGCACCACCTCAACCAAGCTTACGGCCCTCCAACCCGGATGCGGAGGATGGTCGCGTTGCCAAAGAGATACGCCGTTGCCTCGAGCTCGTACAAACCTGCCACCAGGACCTCCAGCACCTCATAGACCTTCGCAACGAGCACCTCAAACTCCTCGAGGCCGCGCCTCCGCGGATCCTCGACAGGATCAACCGCGTCATTGACTCGGCGAAAAGTGTCGTCCCAAAGCACACCGCGGCATGAAGATGACGCTGCACAATCGGCTCGAATGGGTCTTGCGTTCCTCAGTCGATTTCCGCGGCCAGGAGCCCGTCATTATTCGCCACAACGCCGCCGTGTTGGCCGAGTTGAATTACTTGCGCCAAATCACAACATGCACGCTGCTGGATAATATCCCGACAACAAAGGAGGACCCTGATATTGCGCCTTTACGCATCAGTCAGGGAACTAATAAGAAGGGTATGATGTCGCAGATACTCAGCATACCAATGGCGGCAAATGCTAACAGAAAACAAAGCGTCCGCAAGTGTTCCAGCCATCACCGTGTCACCGATGCCAATCTCACGAGCTACGACGCCCAAGGTAATTGAATACTGCGACTTGCCTGAGCCTGTCTTTCCGAATGCGCTCCCGGGAGCGACACCGGACAAGGAGACATTAGTCCTCGCAGTCCAACCACCGTCTGCTCATCTGCCGACTATACTTGGCGAAGATCCTAGTCCTCATCGCGTCGTCCTAGGCCCTAGCGACGATCGGGGACTATTGCTTCTGTTCGAGGACTAGGTGTGGCGAACCGGAAGAACCAGGTGTATTGGCTGCCGAGATGGCCTCGTGGGCTGTAAAGACAAAGATCCTGGTACTTGATAACCAGTAATTTTCGCATGGGTGTCATGGTTTTAAACTAAACACATGATATACGGCTTCATCTCCAGCACTTGTTGGCTTGAATTTCTTTTGATGGCGTCCTTGGCGATCAGCTCGCTTCTCAGCGCTATGAGAATGAACATGGATAGTTCTGTTGTGCTTGTAGCAAGTATGCGCTCAAAAAGCGATGGTGATGGTAGTTTCGTACTTGACTTGTCAACTTTATCCTATGAACGCCTTGCTATTGCACCGTTTGCCAGTTTCAGCAGCTCCGCCGCAAAGTCATCTGCCTGCTGCAAGTATTTCAGCTCCTCGGCCGAGCATGCCACCGCAAGTCCATGAATAGTCTTGGATGCCAATGCCAGCCATTCCACATCGGTCACCGCCTGGTCACTTGTAGGGTGTATAAGGATGTTGACGAATAACGACATGGCCGCCGTCAGAGGATGAAACACGGTGCACCTGTCATGGTCAGAATGCTAGACATATATGTAGGCCATGTTGAAATATGCGGGTTTTCGCACGCACCAAGTTTTGCCCTTGAGCACCGTAACCGGCTCACTAATAGCATGGATCGTGTTTCGCGCGGCGCCCAACGCCAGATCGATACTCGAGTGCATGACCCGGTGGATATCCTCTGGCAAGCCTGCATCTGGATCATGAGCTACGCCGAATCTCCGGACGACGCTGTGTACCATTGTCAGGAGGTAATTGTACTCCAGTTGCAAGTGAGCTGCACGTAAACACGGCTGCACCGATCCATATCCAGAACTACTCCTGGCTATGCCGAGTTTTGGTCGGAGCAGGGGATAGGTATTCACTCGCCAGTTCTCAAGTTCGTCGTCCAACCTCCGGATACGAGTCAGAAGTTCGCTGTCGGTGATATGTAGAGCGGTGGGGGAGTAAAGTACACGAAAGACTTTGGCCTTTAGAAGGCCAAGTCTGCGGTCTCCGGTGGCGAAAGCAAGGAGTTTACAAGCAACGGAACTGTCGATTACTTCATCGAGTTCCTGGGCGGGACTACTGCATTCAGCATCACCCAAGTCCATGTACTCGTCTGCAAGGAGAGGTGGTTGCCCAGTTATAAGGCTCATGTCCTTATCGGCAATATAGCAAGTCCAGAAAAGGTTTCGAATGTGCTCTCTCCGCATATCGGGAGCCGCTTTGCTAGGTGTAGGATGCTTCATATGGCCATCGAGTGTGCAAACCATTCGGCAGGCTGTAGGAAGTAGTGCCCCCGCGGCATCGTATTGTCCAGTGGCTATTCGATACTTGTACTAAACACAATTCATTCATGTTACCACTCCTGTTTCAGTGGTTTGGTTCAAAAAGGGCCATATTACCAGTAATAAAATAGCCTGCAAAGCGTCCAAGTTGGCAAACCGGTCAATACGACCTAGCAGACCTTGAGCCCTCGACGCAATGGCCTGGGCATCGATAGAAGCGACTTCCGCACTGGTCTTCAAGTATGACGCAACGGTAAAAGCTGCCAACAAGCTTGCCGTAGCTGCTAGATGCCCTTGCGAAGCATTCGGATTGCAATCCGCGTACGCCAAGCCTATAGTTTCTGTAAACAGCGACTTATCGAGGATTCCTATTCCCAAGCGAAAGAAAAAACTAGTTTCCGCGTTGAAAGTCCTTAAGGCCAAACTTATATCAGGTAATTCCAATGATTCACCACTGCTAGGATAGGTTGGGTAGCTGATACACGAGAAGAGGTGTGCAGAGCCTAGTAAATGATTCTCAAATCTTGTAGTGTCCTGCGTAGTAATCGACTTGATCCATTTAAAACCATCTTCCGAAACAACAGGCATTCCTCGATGATACCAGTTCTGGCCGAGGCGGAGGGGTGCTTGGTTACTGGCAGATATCTTGCTTTCTGGAAGTTGAAGACTTATGGTTGAGCGAAAGGCGTCAGCTTTGGCAGATGCAAGTTCCTTTTCGAGTTGGTCAATGCGAGCGAGGAGCTCTGTCGCTTTCTTTGATGATTTGGTCCTGAAATCGAATTAGTCTAGTAGCCACATGGGGGCTGATAGGGAATTGGCTGATACCTGTTCAGACCATTCACTCTCTTGTCTCTACTAAATTTACACTCCAGATTCTGATGGCGGCACCAGTCACAGGGTCCGCCATCATGAGATGTGATACATTGGATCTGGGCTCATGTTAGTCTACCGGTTTCAACACTGGGAGGCAGACATACTTTTCTTTTGAAACACACATCGCAGGCTCGTGCTAGTGGCATCGAGGCGGTGTCAGTGACGCGACTCCCACGTATCGGTGCGGAGTTGTATGTGTCTTGTTGGGCCGGGGAGAATACCAGCATTTCAAGTTATTTCCTACTCCGTGTGATGGTATTTCATATCGCCTCAGCCGCCGCACGCCCCCGATAGGTGTTAGTAAATACATGTACTTTCTGAAAGCTGTGTAGCTGGCCTGACTAATCGGATTTCATTTTGTCCGATTATCTAAGCCACCCGTTGACGCTAAATTCGCTTTGGGTTACTCTAAGTAGACCTGCTTGACCCTTCAGGTGAGGGTACCTAAATGACCTGATATTGTAGCTTGAAATAAATGAAATTATTGGTCTTCTTACTCTTCGACGTATCCTAATATTTGTGCCAGCACTGCATCAGGTAGTGCCAGCCCGATTATACAAACATCGTGCGCTTGGTCATACCGAAACCAGAGTACCGAGACATGCTGAAGGAAATAGGTCGAATTATGCTCAATTTTATAACAAAAATTCTAGAACTAATATTGTGTGAATGACGTATAAGACAAGAAATACAAATCACAGAAATAAGGGAAGGCCCTGAGACTTCTAGACAAACGAAAGCAGACGGCAAGTTGCATAGTAATAACGGAAATGTACTTCTCGGCAAAGAACGAAGAGCAACCTATAGAAGGTGTAGTTGTCAATGCTAAATGGTGTAATTTAAGCGTTTAGAATATGCCAATAGTACCTTGAATGGCTAAAAGCTACCCAATCTCGCCGTTCTCGCTTTCAATATTATCAGCATAACACGTGGAGCTTCAGCCTCACAGATATTATTAGACAAATATTGACGCTTTTCACATCTGCATAATCAATTTCACTTGGTCTCAGACTCTAGTAAAATAGGTCAACCGTTCTAATTTCCAAAACGCATGAGGCCAATAATGCACCAACCCCAATCACAGACTTGCACAACTAATCTTCTAAAGCCTGCACCTACCTATTCCATCCTCGATCCAGCCTACCAGATGATGTACGAGATATCGCCGACTAGCTTACTACACATGAGTCCTCTTGTCACGAACGGGCATTGAGTTTAATAGTTGAGTTTGAGCATAGCAAAAAGATCTAGCGATACAAGCCCGCGGCTGCATATCCCAAATATCCAACTTGTAAGTGTGCCCCCGCGGCCCTGTCACCCTGGTGAATTAGAGGTAGTACCAAGACACCAGATGGCTTGTTGCCTCAGCGGCAAATAATCCTAGTGACAGTATCAGTCTTCAGAAAGCCTGCCGCAGCTAAAATGCCAAGTACAGTTTTGATGCCTCCGATTCCGTCGAGCGGCGGTTTAATAATTTCCTCCAGAATCCCATACAGTGCTTTCACACGGGATTTGAAGTCTTCCTCTTCAACTTCGCGACTCATTAGCTCCACAATAAATTCAGCAAAAAAGAGTCCCAAAAAAATAATAAATGGGTAAAAGTGTGAGTGTTCGTCCCTCAGGCCCTTTAGCATCCAAGAGCATGCCACGGTGCTACCTACTGAGCATGCCAAGGACCAGAAACAATAGAAGAACGGAGTATCGGCTAAAAGGAGTAGGATGAAATATATGAATGCTGAAGCGGAGTAAAAGCTGCCAGCACTGTGTTTGGTGTTAGAGCCGGGATCGTCAGGAATTAGACATTACTAACATATATACGACTACCTCCCAGCCCTGTGTCCCAGCAAACCCCAAAGTGACGGCAGCAGTAAACATACACGCTACACTGCCTAGTTTTATTGTTTTTTGCGTGGAAATAGTGTGTGAGTACCTGCGAGCACGGGTGAGTGGTAGAGACAAAGTGGCGAAATCATTCGGCATTGCCGGAACATAGCAGGTTGTCTTTCAGTGTCGTCTCGGAAGATGCTCGGCCTTGGTCATAGGCGGCTGGCTTTTGTAGTCTGATGTGAGATGCCCGGAGATGTCAAAAATCGCATCACCGGCCGAGGTACGCTGGTGAATACGTAAAAAAGGTCCTTTGAAGGGATACAGATGTCCATGTTCGTTATGTTGCGTCAAGGGTTTGTGGCGCCGTCACATGGCAGTCACGGCAAACTTAATGTTGGCTTCCCCATAATTTTAGCAAGTTCAAGGTCCAAGAGGACTTGACTCTACCGACCTTCTCGCACAACTCGAGTCAATACATTATCATTGTGTTTCAAAATGACATCAAACATTAAAAGCGCACAGGTGGATGACTCTATCCAGAGCCAAGAAGAAACACAACGTCAATCTACCACTATTTCCCCTGGGGACATGAAGCGCAATATCTCTACAGGAACACGAACGGCTATGCTCTTGTTGTGCTGCTGCGCGAACCTTCTGTCTTCCATCATTCTAAGCGCCGTGGCTTGGTCTGTTATAATTCAAAATCCAAGTAAACCAATCTTGAACGTTTTCGGGGTACGTAGTCTCTCTTCTTTGATGCTGCTTTGAGACTGACGTGTCCGTCAAGGGAGCTCGCAAAGTCGCCCTTCAAGTATTTCCGACCTGTTCCAATGAAGCCGCTCTTTCCATCCTTATACCAGCAACCGTTATCTTTGCCGTCACTGCACTAATGCCCACAACTAGCCGAGGCTTCCTGCTGGTCGAGTTGAGAGTGTCGCTCTTTGGGCAGATTTGTTGGCTTGTTGCAGGCGTAACGGCGGCGGAATAATGTACGGTCTGCTTCCCTTGTTCCATAAGCGCCGGAATGATTGCAGGTGCCCTGAGAGAATTGGCGACAGTTGACACCACTAAATTGAACTTGGAGGCCTCATTAGGAGCTTTTTTTTCGGCAGTACGAAAAGGTCGCGCCGGAATGATTGCAGGTACCCTGGGAGAATTGGCGACAGACTTGATCATTAACTTGCTCTTGGGGCCCTCATTAGGAGCTTTTTTTTCGCCAGTACCAAAAGGTCGCGCCGGAATGATTGCAGGTACCCTGGGAGAATTGGCGACAGACACCACTAAAATGAACTCAGAGGCCTCATTAGGAGCTTTTTTTTCGGCAGTACGAAAAGGTCGCGCCGTCATTGTCGAAGGACTACTTGAGAAAGGCATTGAACCCAACTCGAGGGACATGTATAATCAGACAGCATTATCTCTGGCCGCCGCGAATGGGAATGAGAGCGTAGCCAAGCTTCTGGTCAAGCATGGTGCCACCATTGATTCCGAGGATGACTACAGTCGGTCGCCGTTGTGGCTGGCTGCCGAGAAGGGGCACCTAGAGATCGTTGAGCTGCTTTTGGAGAATGGCGCCGATGCTAATTCGAAGAGCAACTCCGGCCAAACACTTCTGCAACGGGCTGTCCAAAGATCGAACAAAGAGCTCGTTGAGCTACTACTAGACAATGGCGCTGATATCGAGGCGAATAGTTCCTCTGGCCAGACGCTTCTGTCATTAGCTGTTAAGAAAGGGCGTGCCGGAATCGTTGAGCTGCTGCTTCAAAATGGCGCCGGCGTCGAGTTAAAGAGCCAGTCTGGACAAGACCTCCTTTGGTGGGCTGCGAAGAGAGGCAACGGGGAGATTGTTAAGCTTCTGCTTGAGAATGGTGCTCCTACCGAGTGCGAAGGGGAGAAACATACGCTGCTGCAGTGGGCTGCCAAGAGAGGCAATGAGGTCATTACCAAGCTGCTGCTAGACAACGGCGCCGACATCGAGGCCACACGTTACATGGTTCCGACACCGCTATTATTAGCCGCTTGCCATGGGCACGAGCAGGTTGTTTATCTGCTTCTAGAGAATGGCGCTAATACTGAGGTGACGAATAAATTTCGACTAACACCACTCTTATTAGCTACTGTCAGAAATCACGAGGCCGTCGTTAGGCTGCTGCTAGAGAATGGAGCCGAAATTCCTCCATTTGTCGAATCTAAAGAACAACCAGCAGCACTATTATTAGCCATTGAAAGAGGTAACGAGGCTATTGTTAAGCTACTGCTTGAGAACGGCGCTGATCTTGATGATCCGGGTTACGGTAGTCATATTGAGGCGACAGGAAGGATTTCTTATACACCACTATCATTAGCTGCTAAGATTGGCCATAAGGAAATTGTTAAGCTGCTGCTACGTAATGGCGCTGATATTGAGGCGAAAGGTGTGTATAACGATACACCGCTCAGATTAGCTGCCAGGTATAACCATGAGGAAATTTTCAATCTGCTATTAGAGAAGGGCGCTCTGCCACTAGAGAAGGAGTCTGATGTTCGGTGGATAGCTGAGAAACATTGGTAAATGTAGTCCCGGCGTTGTTCGAGCTGTCGAGTCAATATTGTAGTGCGCCGCAAACCGCTGGAAAAAGCAGGCCTAAATAGAATAGGCCCGGATTCTTGTAGCCAAACCTTCGCATCAACAGTATCGTAATAAAGACCGGTATTTACATGTCCACACAGAACCAAGAATTGTATTGGCATGTTTAAACCGTTATTTTAATATAAGCGTTATGCTCGTAGAGAAATAACCGTGTTAGTTGGTCTTATCGGCTTTGCCGAATGCTAACATCAACGAATTTGTGTATTGTATCAAGTTTTGAATTTTTTTCGTAATTTTTTTTTCATTAGTCCAAATAACTGTACAAGCACCGTACATGAATTACTTTATCGGGTAGCACAATGTGTTGGCCGTTCCTAGGCCAGGGAAACATAACTGACCACGTAATACATCGTGAGTACACGCATCGCGACGCGTCAGACACAAGCATTGTGTATTATATAGTAGAAAGCGTAACACCTGTCTAAGAACTTGTTTGAAAATTATTTAATACGGTGGCTATCCTGATAATATATGAAATAATAGCCGACATACGTATCGCCGACAAGAGCGAAGAGGAAACCATGTTCCATAGTACAAGAATAAGCTTTAAATCCATTAAATAAGAGGTAAATTTTAGCATGACCGCTTTTTGTTTCGGTAGCTGACACATATTTCCGTCCGTTAATTGATGGAGGGTCTAACTTGTGCCGCTACTAAAATTTGGCACTGGCAGAGTGCAGGTTTGCTGGAAGAGGGCAACTCTGCGGCCACGGGAGGTACTGGCTGCCAATGTAGGAGAATACTCCATGCTTAACATTCCGCAAGGGCGAGACCCACGACCAAAGAGAAAATACGTACGTTCAGAGAACTAACGTCCAGTTGCTTCCAGAAGCTGAAGCTAGAGTAGCATGGAGTTGTCTGCCAAGGCACTCGACACACCTCCGCCCGCCCTACAGCCCCGGTTCAATATCGAGTAGTCTAGCCATCATGTCAAGACGACTGCACTTGGCATCTGCAGGACGCTTGGCATAGAATTTGTCTTTGGCTGCCTTGAGCAGTCTCCTCCTTTCCCCGTCTTCCTTCCCGTCCGACCACGTCGTGTCCCAACTCATCAAGTTCCCAGGAAAGAACTTGACTCGGCGACTAGCGACCTACCATGATTCTCAAACCAGCTTTTCTTGCATTGACCAATGTGGATCCCTGGGCGCTCGCCGATGTCCTTGCACTCTTGGCACTCTTGGCCATCTTGGACCTGCTGATCTGGTATCGATTCTAACTGCCGGCAGTTGACGCTAGACCATATTCTTCCACAGCTACACGAGTCGTCGGGCGTATTTGGGATGGAGCCATGAAATCGCATTAAACCTGATAGGGCTAGGCGAAATTCTTATTCCATGTAGGGCCAGCCAATCGGCCGTCTAGATGCCCGTTCTTGATCTGCAAATGGAAACATCACAGTGGAGGCTTGAGTGCATTTTTCGTCACGGTTTTCCCCTTTACTCTGGTGTGGAAGCAAGGTGATGTTTGACGTGGTGCGTCGTCTTTTCTCTTTGTTTCCTTTTATTCTTGAAGCCGTGATAATGTGTCATCATGGCCGCCGCCTCGCCTGCATCGTCGACAAGAACCAAGTCCGACCATGTCGACGCTTCGGAAAAGCAGCCGCGCTGGCGCATATCCTCTTTATCACGCCGGACGGGTGCATCGACGCAACAGTATGCCTATGAGAGTTTTCACCGCGGCAAGCAGCTGCGGCACATGATCTTCTGGACCTTCTGCCGGTGGCTATTCACAGCCGTGCTAGCCATGTCCATCTTTGTGGTAATATGGAAATATTCCCAACCCGCTGCTCTGCCGGCAATCAAGAAGAGCGAGTTCAACTCACTCGTTATTGGATTGTCCATTGCCTACAGTCTGAATCTTGCCAGCGCCCTCAAGAGAGATGCTAGTTATCTGCGCTGGTGGCTGCTCAGCCTGCGGCCCTACTCCCCTCGAGAGGCCGATCTTATCCTGCAATGCGAAAACATGAGCGGTCTCTTGAAGCTGGGATACATGTCCCGCCACCTGTCCATCCGGCTGTTTGTGCTTCTCTTCCTGACTCTCAACATGGCTGCGCAAGTGGCCCTCGCCCTACTCGGAATTACGTACAATATAAATCCCGCAGATCATATAACCGTCACCCGGCCAGGCCTCGTGTCTATTCCCGACATGAGCTCAATTCAGCTGGACAAGAGTCTTATTAGCGGTACTCGGAGGCCCGATCTAGATGACTCCCAGACCGAGAACGCAAGACGATATATGGCCAACACTTTTGGTCAATCTACATTGACCATGCAATGGAACTCTATAGACGAGGCGCCGAAACCAGGAAAGTTCAATGATGCGCGGGACCCAATCTTTTTTTCCAACATCACCGACGGCCTCCCCGTCATCTACACGTACTATTTCTACGAGTCGTCCCCCCAAGACGCAGACTACGTGGCCAGCGTGGCGACGAATCGGACAATCTCCGCATGGTCCGACTGCAAAGAGTACAAGGTCGTTGCCGGCGGCGACGGCTTAAGCCCCAACATTACCTTCTTGTGGGAAGACAATGAACCGATTTCCTGGGAACTTCCGTCTGCCAAGGGCCCCGATCAAGTCATGTACATTCACGACCCGGAACTCGACGCGGGGGACACGTGGGCCGTCATCTACGCCTTTGAAGCCTCCATCAAAGAGCCGTGGTTCTACAGGTGCAACACCACCATTGGATCCGTCACCAACGCCGTCATCAAGGAGCACGAGGTCAGCGCCAATGTCACGCGCTACGCCGCCGCCGCCATTGCTCTCCAAGGCTACGGCTCCTCGGCCGGGGACCTGACCAACAACACCAAGTTCACCCAGTGGCAGAGCTACCCGTCCCAATCCACATTCGGCTACCCCTACAACGGAACCGCTGACATGAGGGGCGCCACGGCGTCTTTATTTGCCATTGGGACCGTTGTTGCCGTTGCAGGGGCCAACGACGACGTGGAGGTGCGCGGCATGACCCCCATGAGAGGCATTACGCTTGAGATCGCGAGCTGGACGACATTGTATCTGATTTTGGGGCTGACCGTTGGTTTGCAGCTCTTCTTCTCTGTTGCGGCCGTGGTTATCGCCAATACGGTGCAGCTGAGGGGCCATAGTCACCTTGCCATGACCGCGTTGCTGAGAGAATCCCTGGACGGGCTGGGGAGTGCCGCACCGGTCGCGTCGGGTAAGCAAGTGGCTGCCATGATGGGGGACAAGGCCAAGCTGCGGTATGAGAGGCGAGGAAAGGGAAGGGGTTACCACGTCATGGTGAGCTAGGTTTTGGTGTGTATATGCCGGGGTGAGAGGAGCACTTGAATGAAAAGGGGCGACTTGGAACTTGTCCTCTGTGAGGTGCCATGAAGATGCATCAGGGCTCATGTGGCTCCACGGCTACGTGTCATCAAAAAAAAAGAGCGTGCTCTCATTGCACAGGAATTGCTATAGTCTCCCTTGTATTTTTCGTTGATATGACTTGTATATACGGCACTTAAAAGCGCATGGACAACTTGGACGCTCGATAGCATGAATTTTAAGCGCATTATCAGACCATGTATTCAAGTGAACAGGCAAGAGAATAGCACGTAGAACAAACATCTTAAAATGTCAGAGCCCCCAAGTTGGCTAATAAAAAGGACAACTTTTCGTTTTAGGCTTTCTATTAGGCTAAGTGCATCGCATAATACATTAATCCCATGGAGACACGCCCTGTAATCGTAAACGTTTCTAAACATATCATTCATAGATTTTGCTACGACGGCGAGGTCCAGCTGCTCGACTCACCATTATATTATATAACCCCAAGACTCAGACTCACCTGACTAATCGGACAGCTCTTCCAGTCCGATTATCTAACTCACGCTAATACCCGTTGATGCAAGGATGATAACCCATCAGCCAATGAGCATACACCACGCCTGCACCAACTTGACGCCTCTTGACATGATCATCTCCAAGGGCCAGTGCCATGGCACAAAATGGGAACAGTGGTGCTCGATTCCGTGTCGCGCGTTATTTTAAGGTTTTTAGTATATAAATACCTCTCGAGACTCCTCGACATCTTCTTCCTTGCCTCTGCGAACCCTCAAAAATACATTGACGCTTGACTGTCACTTCCCATTTAAGATGTCTTTCCCTTCTGGCTCCTGGACACAAATCGCACACTCCTCCCGGCTTTGTCGCTCCTCCCATGCTCTGTCTGTACTTGGCTCCAAGGCCTATATTTTTGGGGGAGAACTGCTGCCAAGACAGCCGGTCGATAATCAGTGTGACGTGGTTGATTTGGCCACCGAGTCTCATGGTGCGGGTTGTCCTTTCATATCCCGACCATTATACCTATTTCAGAACGCCCATTCTCACATCTGGCTTATAGACAAACTAAACACACTAGCTGTTGCGAATGCGCCATCCCCGAGGGTTGGCACACCCAGCGTATCCGCCAACGGGCACATCTGGTTATTCTCAGGCCGCGGTGGCCTAGCCATGGATCCTATCGACGAGAAAGGTAGTCTGTGGAGATGTAACCCTGCCAGTCCTAGCTGGGACTTGGTGAAGACGACATCTCCCGAGTATCCCGCTGCGCGAAGCTACCATGCAATGACATCCGATGGCGTAAAGACCATCTATCTCCACGCGGGTTGTCCGTCCAAGGGTCGCCTCTCGGACCTCTGGGCATTTGATACCGAAAGCCTAGAGTGGACTGAACTCCCGGCTGCTCCTGGCCCCGCGCGCGGGGGGACATCGATTACATTCTGTCAAGGCAAACTGTACCGTATGGGAGGCTTTGATGGATCATCCGAGCAGGGTGGCATTTTGGATTGTTACGAGCCGGCAACAAGAAGCTGGCAAAGTATGCCTTTTAGTCCTGATGGTATTCATGGTCCCGGTGCCAGAAGCGTGGCTACACTGCTATCTCTAAGGAGCGCAGGAGAGCATGTCCTTCTGACAATGTTTGGTGAAAGCGATCCTTCGTCTTTGGGACATGCGGGGGCTGGGAAAATGCTTCGTGATGCGTGGACTTTTAGTATTCGGGCCTCGGCCTGGAAGAAAATCGTATTTGAGGGTGATGTACCTGCCGCGAGAGGGTGGTTTTCGGCAGATGTCCTCCTGGGAGATGGCCGAGACGCTGTCATTATCCATGGGGGTTTGGCCGAGGATAATTCTCGATTGGGAGATGTTTGGAGAATGGAATTGGTCGGAGATTTCTACCAGTTTGTTTGAACCGATTAAGCCTCCCTTGTGTTAGGCGAAATTATGTCCGAATTCCGCTTTCTTGAGGACGTCGAAATAAACTTGATTGAGATGTTTTCAGGTGTCTTTATAAAGCAGCTGCCTGTTACTATTTGCAATCGTTATTCTATCCTTCGACCCTCACCGGAGGCATTTACGACAGGGACTTAGCTACAAATATTTGCGGTTTCTTTCGACTTGGATATTTCCCTCGTACTTCCGTATAGTTTCATATTAGAGTGACCATACATCTACTACATATTCTTGAGGGTATTTTGGAACCCATTTCGGCGGTCATCGTTCCTGATCTCTAGCTATGGAGCGAGGTTCCAGAATTAGCTCACGTATTGGCATGTCCACGTATTTGCCTGATTCGTTTGACATAGACTACTTTTTGAACAAGCTCCTCGAGAATAACCGACCCATGGAGAATCCATAACCACATTTGTGCCTCTGAGTAGATGGACTTGCTGTGTTGAGTAATCATTGCCGAGAGATGCGCCCGCGGGGAGTTGGAGAAAGCGGAGTAGATGAGGCATGTCGGGCGACAGCCTCGGCTCAAGGTTCCGACCGATCCGCCAAATCTATTTAACATCAATTGGACCGAAATCTCGCCTTTTACATACACACAACTCTACAAAGCTCAAGTATTACAACGTTTCATCTTCTACGCAATCATGTCGGTCCCGTATCTCCTGAGCAGCCAGGCTGGCCACATCCCTGCCTCGCAGAAGATTCCTGTTATTGCGAAACCATTTGTCAGCGAGAAGGCCGAAAAGGCATTGGATCTAGTCAGTGCCATGGCAATCCAGGCCGTGTATTCTCACATTTTAACGGGCCCGAATAGGTCGAGAGATTTGTCGAGGAAGAATGCATACCTGCCGAAGCGATTTTCTCGCAGCAGCTTGGCCAAGGCACAGCCAATCGGTTCAACGCACACCCACCAGTCATTGAAGATCTGAAAAGAAAGGCCAAGGCACTGGGGTTATGGAACATGTTCCTACCCAAGAACCACTTCAAAGAAAGCGCGGGCTTCAGCAATCTCGAGTACGGCTTAATGGCCGAATACTTGGGCAAGAGTTTCATCGCCAGCGAAGCAACAAACTGTGCTGCTCCTGACACGGGTAACATGGAAGTTCTTGCGAAATACGGCACCAAAGAACAGAAGGCTCAGTGGCTAGGTCCCCTGCTAGATGGCAACATTCGATCCGCCTTCCTCATGACGGAACCTCAAGTTGCTAGCAGCGATGCTCTCAACATCGAATTCAGCATGAAACAAGATGGCGATTATTGGATTTTAGATGGTCAGGTACGTTTCCCCGATTCGCTTCGCGGTGTTCGTTCTCACAGTCGCAGAAATGGTGGTCTAGTGGTGCTGGCGATAATCGATGTAAGCTGTATATAGTCATGGGGAAATCGGATCCGAACAACCCCCATACCTATAAGAAACATTCCGTCATCCTTGTGCCGGCAAATACTCCCGGCGTCACCGTCAAGCGTGTCCTCTCAGTCATCGGCTTTGACCATGCGCCACATGGTCACGCGCATATTATATTCAACAATGTTCGCGTCCACAAAGATAACCTGATACTCGGCCAGGGGAGGGGATTCGAAGTCGTCCAGGGTCGTCTGGGACCAGGGCGAATCCATCATGCTATGAGGACTGTGGGCGTTGTGAGTGTATATCATCCCTGTTGTGCCGCGGATCAAACAACTAACACGGCGGGAACAGGCTGAAAGAGCCCTTGAGTACTTCATTGCCCGCTCAAATGATCCTTCTAGGCGCCCATTCGGTAAAAACCTCAGTGAGCATGGCGTCATGCTAGAAAGAATTGCCAAATCGCGTATCGAAATCGACTCGGCCCGTCTCGCTGTCCTCAATGCCGCAATCAAAATTGACCAAGGCAACGCCAAGGACGCCCTCAAAGAGATTGCCGAGGTCAAGATTCAAGTTCCGAGCATGGCCCTGGAGGTCCTTGATCGCGCAATGCAGGCGCATGGAGGAGCCGGCGTGTCCCAAGACACGCCGTTGGCTAGTATGTGGGCTGATGCTCGGACAATGAGGATCGTTGATGGCCCGGACGAGGTACATATGATTCAGTTGGGGCGCAATGAGAGCAAGCGAGGTCTAAACCTGTTAAAGAAAATCGATTCACAGAAGCACAAAACTTCAGAGTTGCGCAAGTATTACGGCCTGGATGAAAGGGACACTCTGGAACTCAACAGGACAAGTGGAACTGCGAAATTGTAACACGACATTTATTGACTGTGGTGCGACTACGGCATGTCACTTGCTCTAATTGCCCTAAGGTAGGAGCAACTCTGTAAGAAATACTATATAACTATAAAATATCATCAGAGAATAAGTACACCCAAGCTCTGTGGAAAGTAAAATGCCGTTTCGTGCGAGATGGGGTTCCATTGCGTGAAACTGAAGATATGCAGCCGCCTTGCTCGGGCAGTGTAAGAATACCGCAACGAGCAGCCTTTTAAATACCCAATCTGTAAAGATTTGGCGGTCCGACACTTTCTGCGATATAAATTCTCAAAGAATACTGAGCTGCACTCCGAATTCCGTCGTTATCCCTCTCCTATATACTAGATAACTGTTTCACGACTTCATCGCAGTGACTCATAAGTCATGAGCCAGTCAGGACATTATTGCACATAGTCCTCTTCCTCTTCTAGAGAAACTTTTGGGTCAAGGCGCTTCCAGAGGAGCTTTTTAAACCACTGAGGCCAGAAGCCACCAGTCAAGGATGGCCTGAATCTTGAGCGTCTTGGTGTCAACGATGACGTTATACTGCCCGAGATGCTTATGGCAAAAAACATATTCCCCTTTCTTCTAACGTGATTTCTAGCACCTATTCGCCTTCTATTATTCGCTAGTGATCCGATGAGGCCATAAACAAGATTCACCAGGTACTCCTGGAACACTGAATTGAAGGGCCAGTAAGATTATCACGTGCTGTTCCAGCTCCTTCGTTACCATCTCCTTCTCTTCTTACTTAGGTTTGATTATACTAACGCTTTAGAGAAATTATGATTGGAAGTAAAAGGCGCTATCGTCTTTAAAGTTGAACCAGTCTCCCACAAGGAAATATTTCTTGTGGGCGAGGACAACTAACTTGGTTCTCAACGGTCGTTTTACTCTCGATGTGTAACCATTTTCAAATTTCCGCAAATGTATAGTGGGATGACTCACGAACAGTTGTCAAGAGTTTCGCTATAAGGGGGATCAAGAGGATGCGTCCTTTGCTGTGCTTTGGGGGGTTAGAACAGTATATGAGACAGGTCTGGGATTTGAGCTCGAGCCTCACTTCACTGGCCAAATAGTTACACAAACGGCCTGGCCCACACGTGAATTGCTCAGCGGGCTTACCAGTCTCTTTAGGCCTAGTTAAGTTGACATTCAAGGTGGACGAGGTGTCTTGAGTTCATGGTAATGCTGTCATCATTAGGCATCAAGTTTTCATCGGGGATACCGAGTAAAGTCTACATTGTCACTGACATAAATAGAGCTTCTGTCATATAGCCCCAATGCTTGGACGACAGGAAAGAGTGAGAAAACTCTGAATTGTCTATATAAAATGTCAAACTATGCACCAACTGAATACTTGCTGGGAAAACATCCGCTCCCAAGCATGTATCAGATAGCGAATGATTGCTGCTGCCCTAGATGAGCGGCTTGATATCGACACGAACCCTCGGCACAGCAGCAGGAGAAGAAAACTGGCACAACCAAACAAGAGAATTCCCACACACGTCGAAGTCGACGGTGACCAGTTGCCAATCAGGGGACTCATTAAGCTGGAACGGAGCCAGGCGCAGCAGGCGGCGGCTGATCGGCTTCCGGTTCCTCACGCGCACACTTACCAGTGACATTATCTGGTATGGTGCCGTCAATGGCAACTACAGTAGAGCCGCAATCAGCACCCCTGGCAACATACATGGTTTTGCCTGCATGATCATGGACGACGTATGACCGGCGCAGAAATTGTCGGCCGACCCAAATACCTAAGTAGTACAAAGTTAGCTGTGGCGATAATAACTGACTCTGATCAGATGGGACCCTTACTGGTTGGTCGACGATTTGTAGCTCCAATAAACGTTTTGCAGGTTTTACCATCGGGTGCCCGTTCACGCACCAAGTCCGAAAGAGGCACCGAGACGACGGTATTGTCAGTAATCTGGAAATCAAAGGCCGCCCCCTTGTCAACTACATCGCAGGGAAAGTTATATGCATCGCCTTCAACGACAGCTCCTGTCTTTGCGACAAAGTCCCGCCTTGTACCTCTAACAGGGTAGAAACCCAGAGACCCGGAGTCTACTCCCAGGGCTAGAGGTTGGCTTCTGGAGTCCTGAGTCGACAGTTCGACGGCGCCCTGGCCGCTGCCTGGCCTAAATGAAAGGGATTTGATCTCAAACGCATAGCTGAACAAGGTAATTAGTATAGCCAATGGTTGCAGGATGGGATCGCTCTTACAATCCCAAGCGGTTGTCCTTCTTCGGGAGCTTCTCAAGTTGCCCGGAGAACTTGCTCGTATCATATCCACCAAACGTGAGAGCGCCCTGGCCGTGCTTGCGAACGCCTAGTCCAAAAGCCTTGCTCTTTACAACGTTCTGGTCAAGAAGACTTTGAAGAATGAAATCCTTGCTATTTTCGTTGCCTCGCTCTGGTAGGAGACCCAACACGCCAACGTGCCGCCCCAAGTTGGTGCCAGGTCTGTCCAGATCACCCACACCAAGTGTTACTTTTCCCACGGATCGGCCTACAGTATAGTCAGATGAAGACTGTTTCAAAATAAAAAGTAAGAGAATATTTCAAGAGACCTGGCTTACCTCCAAAAGAGACGTTATCAGTATACAACTCTGTCGTGATTTGTTCGTTTCCATAGCTATTGAGCCGTTCTCGGCCAAGGTCTTGTAGAGAGCTGCTACTGTTTTGGTCAAAAAACGTAGACTCATCTCCTGCACGCTTCTGGCCGGGCTGGAGGCCCAATACCCAGAAATTATTAGATCCCGTGTCAGGTTCCACGATGACCTTTTGAGGCGGCGTTCCGACCTCGATGACAGCTCCCACGGCAATATCCTTGTTATACTGGTAATTGTCAATTCCTGTCGATAATTGACGTCGTGTTGCAGGTTTTCCATCTGTGTCGACTGCGGACGGCACATAAACCAACGGCAGATGGAGAACTCCGGCTGCTGCTGGACTTTCTTGCTTCTCACTCGGCAATGCCAGCGACTGGGACGCCAACAGCAGGAGTAATGCTTTCGATACAGGCATCATAAAAAACGATTCAAGAGCTGAGTATAAAGGAAGGTTTTTCTTTGCTTTTAATGAGTAAAAAAGAGCGGAATTGGTTGTCGATGTTGTCTTCTATCGGCCAAGGCAGCATCTTATATACATCTCGCTCTTCATGTGGCCATAGCCGCATTACGAAAATCTTGGCTCGTAATGCGTATGCGTGCTTTGTACGTTCTACTGCCCGAATTGCTTTGCCCTCATCTGTTTGAGCATCTGTAGAACAGATGATGCCGGCGACACGACTTTCTCATGACTCGGGTCCAACAAAGAAGTCGTATGTTTTTCAACATCATGAAGCGCACCTTCTCCGCGGCATAAGCTAGAGAGGGCGCAGTGTCCTTGAACTATCTTCTCAGCGATGCGTCGTGGCAATGCAATACGATCTTAGAAAGAAACCGCATTGAATGCAGGGTACTGGGGGCTGGAATAGTCAAGAGGCTAGTCGATCATGGCAGTTGCCCGAATGCCCGAATGCCCGAGGGCCCGAGAAGAAAAACCAAAGGACAGACATGTTGGCAGAGGCTCAAAGGGCAAAACTAAGAATCATTGGGCTTGCCTCCTGATGCCTACACCCTCAGGTTGTGAGCAATTCGAGTTGCCGAGTCTCATATCGTAGCGAACAAATTTTGGTTACTCCGTTATCAATTTTATTGAGCGTCCCCTGATATTCAAGAAGCCTCATATTAGGCACTTTACCAGACGCAGTTTCCCAACGGCGCTAATAAAACCTCTTTAATTTCTCATATACATTATTCCTCCAACATCCAGAAATTTCATCCGGTCGTTTTGTCAAGTTAGGAAAGTCCATCTTATCCGACGGCATTACGCATGAAACTACAATGCAACAGTTGCCAGCCTTCAACTCATCTAAATCCCTCTCGGAATTAGTAGTGACCCCTTATGTGTCGTCCTACGACTCGTATGTTCTGGCTGAAAAAAAAACTATTCTTGTCACTACGGGACTACTCTACGGCGTTCCGACCCGTGTGGAGTGTTGGTGCGTGACTGACACAAGAACCGCGTGGGTTGATCATCCACGCCGGAATTAAACGGTGGCGATGCTACCGGCATTAACAATTGATACCACTCGGGGCCTCGTTTCTCCACTACCACGAAACGTTAGACTTGTCTAGAGTAGTTGTGATGCCATAGGAATCATACGTGACAAAACTCGGGATGATCTTCCACAGTACAGGTGAACAAGCGCTATATCCGCCGGTACTGTCATGCTATTATAAGAATTACATGACTAGTTTGCGGCATAATTCAGAATCGAGTCGGTCCGAGCCGCGGATTCTAAATTCATCTGGCACTCAATGCGTCATCTCCGGTACTTCCTTACACTGATTTCATGGCGCTTAAACTGACACGAGGAATCACCCTTTAAGAGTGAATATTTGGCTAGTGTACCCGTCGCATCACGATGCGTTTATTCACGGTGTATTACGTGGTTAATTGCGGTTCCCTGGCTTAGGTACGGCTAAAAATAGTGTTACTAGATGTCTTGCGTGATTATTTCTAACTTGATACAAGGAAATATGTATGGGAGGTCAAACCCCTGTGTCATACTAGAAGCGTATTCACAGACGAGTCAGACGTGCTGAGTTCAGGCACTCAATAACATATGGAGTGCGGAAGTGTATTGCAGAGCCAAACATGATGGCTTAGGAACGGTCAGACAAAAAATCGCGTTTTTACATTGTTCTCCTTCTTTACTCCACCACATACCTCTCTGACTATATCCTGCATAGAGAAGGGAGAATTGTACTAGTATATCCCTTGATTCGAGATATTCCATGGCAGCCATAATGTTCAACTTCGACACCCTAAGGAAAAACAAAACATGAAAAACAGAACACAAGTTCAAGCTTCCTTAAAAGAACAACTGTCTGCCAACCAGCCGATTTCCTACAATGATTCTGTCCGCAATTCAGTAGTGGACTGGAAACATTTAATTATATTACACAAAAACTTCGAAATTTTCCACGCCTGCAACGTGAGAAAAGTATGGCGTAGTTCAGTAACCAACCCGCTATCCTCATCAGCAGGCGCGTTCTGCAGTTATGATGAGATGCATCACCAACTACAAATTGGTTGAAACCACCACATGCTATAGTAAGTATGTTTCGCCGCCTCGTACAATGCGAAGATCGATAAGGTGTACTGTCAAGCACACATGAGATACCACGAGAGAGGGTGAGGCTAAGAAATTACACTATGAAGATAAAATACTTCAAGCTTCGGAGAAAGGCAGAGTTATTGAGCACTAATAAGACGTACTAGATCATAGGGAGATGTATCTATTGCATCAACTCATCACAGGGGCTTTTACTTGAGTTAGGACATTCCGTCTCGATCAAAATTGACTATTTTATTGATTGCATTATCCATATGGAAAAACCGTTATAAGAGCACAAAGGTTCAACCAGGATACACGTTGGAAAACGACTCATGCCACTTATTCACGATTCTATTGCCCGGCCCGGCAGTAATCATGTCTTGCCCCTGCTCCCACTTCTTGGTAACCTCATCCATGAACTCGTTAATAGTCAGAGTAGAAGAGTCCTTTTCCTTCTTATTGTCATCCGGGTCCTCCCTCTCGCGATGAAGATCCGTGGCCACCATGGGCGGCGCAATCTCCACGACGCGGATAGCGCTGTGTTTCAGCTGCGTACGAAGGTTCATGCTCCACGAGTGCAGCCAGGCCTTTGTTCCGTTATACACGGGGTTTATAATAGAGAGCGGTACGAAGCCCAGGACGCTTGATACGTTGACAATCGCAGCACTCGGCTTAGACAAGAAGTGCGGTATCAGCTGGAGCGTCAGGTGCATCGGGCCGCGAATGTTGACGTCGATTTCCTGGTCAGCCTTGCGAAGGAAGTCGTCTGGCCCGAGCTTGTCAACCTCGAGAGGATTTTGGATGCCGGCGTTATTGACGACGCAGTCCAGCTCCGGATGTTCGGCGATGATCTTGCGCACAAATTGTGAAATGTCTTCCGTTTTGCCCGTGTCCAGCACGTAGTAGGCAGAAGCACCGATCTCTGAGACGGCAGTGCGCAAGTTGGACTCGGTGCGACCAGCAATAATGACCTTTGTGCCTTGAGAGACGAGGTATTTGGCAAATGCCTTGCCAATGCCGCCGCCGCCGCCGGTAACAAGAGCGCACTGGAATTTGGGAGAGCCCCGTGTGGAAGACATGTCGTCTGGTTGTAATTCTTCAAGCAGTGATGCTTTTCTGGTTCGTAATTCAGTAATGTGTTGTTATTTTTGAAGAATGTGGTGAGTGATGGATAGTTTTGAGGGGAGATCAGTTGGCTTTATTTGAGTTTAAATAACGTCATACAACGCACTTGGCCCGTCACCGCGCCGAAGTCAGTAATTTGCGCAACCGGAACAACCGACGTGATGGAGTTAATTGGATTCCAAACGCCGAAAAATCCGGCCGGTGTTTACATACCGAAAGACGAGTCAATCCGTGCTCGTGAGCGGGTATTGGTGAAGCAAAATTGGGTTCCGGCGCCGATCTCCCGTCCGGCATAAACAACGTCATCTCCAGTGAATGGCCGAGAAAGAACAGTATTTTTTATGCCGCAAGACATGGAATGTGCTTGTTGCCTGTCATGACTAGATCATAGCGGACTCTGTGTGTGGCAAGCGAAGACATTGTCGCCTCTGCATGACTTACAACTTATGGTACGAGAAGAAGAAGTAAAGAGTAGAGACAAAGCTCCTGACATGCGCTCTTGTATCACGTTATAAAACGAGGCGGTTTTAATACAGGCGGGTTTCTTTGTTTTATTAAACTTTGGACGATGGTAACTTTCTCGGCATTTCGGGTATTCGTGGCGGTTGGTTTCTACAGCCGGCACCAGAACAAAACTTTACCGGGAAACCGTGGTGGCATAAATACTGCTCCGTTGCTAGTTGCATCACGAAATAATTGCAATCACAACCATCTCCATCTATCTTAGACTACCGGACCGGATCTCTCCTTTCCTTGACCATCACATACGAGCTTTGCCAGCCTACCGCGACGATGCAGGCAGACGACATCATTCTCCTCACGCTAGCCGCTGGCAAGCAGATGTCTTATCTCCTCCCGCTTCTGTATGGGAAATGCCGCCTCAGACTCTCGGTACATAAAGACTCGGAGAAGGAACTCCTTGAAAAGAAATACCCAGGCTCTGAAGTCGTCAAAGGTGACATGGAACGCGCAGAGGATGTGTCGTCGATGCTATCAGGGGTCACCACCGTCATCTACATCGGACCAACGTTCCACCCCCGCGAAACAGAAATCGGGTATTCCATGATTGACGCCGCAGCCAGCGAAGCCCAAAACGGCAAACTCAAACACTTTATCTACTCGTCCGTGCTTCACTCACAGCTGCGGAAGCTGATGAACCATGACTGCAAGCGCTACGTGGAGGAATACCTGATGGAGTCGGGACTCAACTACACCATCCTGCAGCCAACGCACATGCTGGATCCCTTCCCAGTCGAGGATCTGATGAGACAGGAGCAACCCGTTTGGCACGCCGATTATGATCCCAAGGTGACATTTTCTTTCACCGTTCTGCGCGATCTGGCCGATGCGTTTGCGGTTGTAGCGCTGGAGCGCGAGAAGCATTACCTGGCCGAGTATCCCATTTCTTCGACGGGCGCGGTATCTCATGTTGCGGTGGTTGAGGCGCTGAGCAAGGAGATTGGAAAAGAGATTGCGATCAAACAGAAGGGTTACTACGAGGCAGTCGGGGGGTTGCACGGCCTGCTGGTCAGAGCCAACGGAAGACTGGACCAGAGGGTGTCTCGCGACATCACCGACCGGCTGATTCTTTACTACAATACCTACGGACTGAAAGGAAACACAAACGTGCTTCAGTGGCTGATTGGTCGGAAACCAACTAGCATTGAAGAGTTCTTCCACGACAAGGTCTCGAGCATCAGACAGTCGGGTAAATGAGGGCATGATGTGTACGACGATGGATAGTATTGGAATAACTATGCGTCAATAGCAGGACTTTATGATCAATAGTACAAAACAATGTTGCACAAGCATTGATACGCTTCGCTCGCAGCAGAGAATCCCCATTCCGCTTTCGTCGTGATGGCAGCCTCACTTTCTGGGTCGGGAGTTTTTTGTGGGGTTAGGGTTGAAACCGTCAACCTTTGATGATCGAGTCGTACATGACATGTGCGGAGCCCGTATCTTCACCTCTGGCACGTAATGGCTTGGGCTAGTAGCAGCCCTATGTCGCGTCGGTCAAGGCTAGCAAACCGTCGAGGGGACTAGGTCTTACAAGGCCAGCAATCGGACCAGTCGTAAAATTGCCTCGCAAGCCACGTCAAGGCTGAATTGCCCCGGCGCGTTTAGCAGTCGGGGAAATACCAGTTGACCTCTCCTGGTGGGAACGCCCGCAGGTTGTTGCGGCGCCTGGCTGGCACGTCGCAGCAGTGTTGCGAAGGCATTGAAACTCTTGTCGTTGTGTATGGAAGCGAGGGTGAGAAAAGCAGCGGGAAATTACTCAGACTGCCGCAAATGCGACATTGCATGTGGCACGGTCAGCATACCGGAATTTCGGATGCTCGGCTATCCGCCGGATGCCAGCAGAGGCTCCAATGATGTCTGGCGCCTCCCTCCACAGAGCCGTGGAAGCACCCCAGAAGCATCAAGTGGTAAGGCAACTTAGTGTCCGACAAGTCAATGGGTCAATTGCGTCTGGCAAGTAGTTAGTTACGAGCTCAGGCGACTGGTCGTTCGGTCCATGGTGCAAGGTGACAAGGTCCAAACGGCGAGGCCCGCGCTCCGGCACGACGGGCCTGGAAAAGTGGGTCCCTGCATCTGGAGAAGCTCCGAGGCTGATTCCCGACTGTCCGGCGCCATCTGCCATTCTTCGCGGCGGGTTGAGGCGATGGAAGGGTGTTGCTGTTGCCGGTCAGCATATATATCGTAACGCGAGCCTTAGCCTCGAAGCTAACATGATGTTGTGTTTCGACGATTCATACCAGTGACACAGCCCGTCTTTGACGTCGTGGCCCGTCCTGGACTCCTGGACCCCTTGATCGCGATTTGCTGGCCAGAATCCAGCCACCCGTACCGCCCTCACCATGGCTGCAGGGAACATGATTATGCTTGACCCTGGCGGGAAAGCCCCGTCGACGGCGCTTGAGATGGTCGACGCTCCTCATCAGGGTACGCTGCCTGACAGCGTCATCGTGGTGGTTACTGGTTACGCAAGCTTGCTCGGACTGGACTGGCTATCCGCCGTTGCTCAGACGCCTGTGGTCGATGGTAGTGGACCGTGGACATTTGAAAAACGCTCTCGCTCGAGGCAGAGCACCGGCAGGGAAGACCAGTCTTGGAGACGGCACCGCGGACGAAGTGACTATTCATCCATCCCCAAGTGCTTCAGGCTGCCACACATTTGGACGCCAAGTCACTCTCTAGGCGTGTCATGGACGACAGATCTGCACTGACTCGGAAACATCGGCAAATGTGTCGACAAAGTTAAAAAAAATATGGAGCGTCGTATCGTGCTAGTGCCTGTCTACCTGCCTGCTTGTCCAGATTGTTTCACTCAATCCCTCCTCTAAACCTTCTAAAAACCTCTCTGCCGGACCAGGACACGCCATGCTGCGCGCGCGTCGTTCAAGATCCTGCTCCCGGCTTCAGCATGACCCCAGCCTCAACAACACCAAAGAGGACACGAGCGTGCACCTTTTGCAGGGCCAAGAAGATCCGATGTGAGATGCCGCGTTGCATGCCTTTTTCTTTTTGCTCCGTCGAGAACTGATCGTGTCAGGCGGGGGCGGTAATCCTTGCCGCAACTGCGCAGACTATGGGGAGGAATGCATCTTCCGCCCGCGAAAACGGCGTCAGAAGAAGCGCGACATCACAGCCGACCAGGGAGAGCAGGGCGCGCCGGAAAAGAGCGTCCCCGACGGCGGACAGTATGTCTTCGAGGCCGAATCGCATCATCCTACCGGCCAGCGAAACCCAGGCGCCAATGTGCGCGTCCAGTCGTTTTCGCCGCAGGGCATCAGCCCGTATGAGGACTCGGTCATTCATGTCGGGGCGTTGCCCTTTCGCAGCAGCAGCCATACGACGTTTGACCCTAACCATCGGCATATCCACGGGCCTCACTCGAGGACGCTGGAAAGCTCGGCATACGGCGAGTACCCGGGGAAAGAATATACCAGCGTGGCCTCGGCCTCGCAGCCCGGCATCATGATGGTCGGCCACGGCTGGCATGTGGCGCCGCCAACACCTCAACCGTCGTCCATGACGACAACGTCTCACAGCAGCTCTGCGCCGTTACTCCATGCGTCGAGGGGTGCTGATGAGGAGGGAAGCAGTGTCTATTCAATGCTAAGTGTAAGAGCGGCATGCGTCCGGCCTTGTAGACTTGTTTCTAACTCTTTTCCGTATTTTCTTTGTCCAACTAGAATGGCCTCGAGTATCACGGTATGTCCTTGTTTGCACGTATATACAGTAATTTTCTCCTCTCCTGACAACGGCCAAGGTCCTCGGAGCATCATGTCCATGTGTAGCAAGCCAGCCATCGAGTGGGTGAGGGAGAGGGTCAAGACTCCGGACATGCAAGTGACGTCGCAGAAGTTTGCAGAGGGCATTGCCCAGCGACTCAAAATGGACAAGCCCTTGTCGTTTGAGCGGCAATCAGAACCTTCGGAGCTGGATGCCTGGAGATATGCTAAAGGTATTGATGGCTCTCCGTACCCGAGGATCCTGAGCTGACATGCAATTGACATCACACCACAGCTTATTTCGACGAGTCCCATGACGCTGCCCTCGGCATCGTCCACCGCCCTTGGTTTGAGATGAAACTCCGCAGTCATTTCATTTCCTCCAACTCCAAAGATGATCCGGCTTGGTACGCCCTGCGCAACATTGTATATGCTTCTGGTTGTCGCATCGTCACGTCCAAGGTGGCAACATTCCACGAGGCGCAACAGGCTTCGTGGCCCTTTTTTGAAAACTCGCTTTCTGTGCATACACAGCTGTTGTACTGGCAAACCACCGTGACTGGCGTCCAGGCACTGACTGCCATGGTAGGTATCATGACCATACGTAGCGTCAACTGGTGGTTTTCGCTGACGCTTCCAGGCCTACTTTACCGATGCAATCAGCAGCCCGATACTACAGTACATGCTGTGTTCAATGGCAGTCAGGCTTGCCGTAGCCAAAGGCATGCACCGGAGACCACATTCTTGGTCATTCCCATCGATAGAGGAGAGTCTCAGGGGCTTCACCTTCTGGGCTCTCTACTGCTTGGACAAGCAGATAGCCAGCCGCTCTGGTCGACCTTCGGTACGTTTATAGGCTCCCTTATCCATAGACATGACAACGTACGTACTGAACCGGCCAAGTCAATCGAGGACTACGAAATAAGCTCCCACGTACCGACATGCTGCCCACTTGGCGGGTCAGTCCATTTGGGATATTTCACAGCCATGGTCAAGCTCAGTCAGCTGCTGTCTTTGGTCAATAAGAAACTCTCTCAGGTCAGATCCACTGGCTCCGCGGCCGAAGGACTTGTCAAAGTCATCCGGGACCTAGACCACAGCCTCGAGGAGCTGCAGCAATCACTTGTCGATGTGTTGGGTGTCAAACTGCCACTAGACCTATCCAACATTCCCGCCAACCTGAACAACCACCAAGCTCTCTCCATCCAATCCCTCTACTACAACGTGGTTTGGGACATACACACCCCATTAACCTATCCCTGGCTTCGTGGAGCCTTTGCTCTTGACCAAGATGCTCCGACAAGGGCGCAGATCCAGGCTTCTTCATCAACAGTCGCTACCAGCTCAAGAGCTGCCGTTCTAGGCACCAGGCACGTCCACCTAGATCCAAACTGTTGTCAACTGTAAGACCGCTCAAGGCTTAGCCCGTCGTTTCTTCTGCGCAATACGACGGAGACGAATAGCGTACGCTGACATTTTCTTCAGCATAGTTTCCTACGTCCCCCACCACGCACTGGTGAATATATTTGTCCATATCCTCACGGATCCTACGCAGGCGTCGGTAAAGTCCGAGCTGGCCCTGTTAGACATTGGAGTAGGCTTCGCGGCGCGCGTCGACCTCGACACCGAATGCTATCTATCACTGCCATTCATCGTGGAAATGGCCATCATGGCGCGCAATGCTGTCGACAATGCGGAGCGAAACGCAGTCGACAGGGATACACCATTGTCCAATGCCAACAGTGCCGTCAAAGAGCTCTCCACGCCATTCAGTGGCCGAGCGTCAAACGTGGCGGTTAATGAGCGACAGGGGGATGAGGAGCTCAGCGGCAGTTTGCCAGCGGAACAGTTGCAGATTAATGACGGGCTTCATAGAGACGTAAGGCCATTTTCTTCGTTTTGAATAGTTGTATCTGTGCATACGACTGAAAGCTAACAATTGCAAGGATATCAATATGGGATTCGACTCGGGCGATTTGGAACTTTGGAGTATTATGCTTCCGGGTATTGGGGATGATATTTGAGTCGTGGCTCCGCAGCATTTATACCACTATTGTTCTTATTTGTGCTGAAATGAGTAAATGCGCAAAATATGCGGGAATCGGAAGGTGGTTTATCCTGGAAACGATGTTGCCCTTTCTGAGTACATCGAGGAAACAACATGAATGTGTTGAAGGGGAAAGTGGCCGTTTCCAAGGCGTTATAGAGCGGTCATGTTCCTGGTTAAGCTTGGAAATACTTTGCATAAGAGGGCTCAGCGAGTTTCTATGGACCTTGTTATTTTAATCGAATCTCATGTACACCAAGACATCTCGGGGTGTTGGTCTCGTTCCATCAAATATACACTTGGCCGATGGACCCAAGAGCTATAATTTTGCTTTCGTACCGATTTCTACCAGCACATGATATACTTTGTAGAAACTCTAAACAGGTCACTTCAACATGATTAAATCTTTCCCGTGGAGCTACTCTTGGACAACGGTGGTTCAATCCCTTGATAAGGATATCTGAAAAGAGCAACAGATGCCATGATGATATAATTTTATAGGCACTATTAATGTACTAGTGTCTGGTCAAGATGGCTGTTAAAATTTCACAGTACTACGGCCCAGGGGAAGGCAAATAAACTACAACCAGCACATGGCTGGAGAAATGTATCGCGTACCGTAGAAAAGGCACCCAGTAACCCATCAACCAACACTTCGCCCGTTCTCGGGTCGCCATCTCTCTTGTAACGGCGCGACTTCATGTCATGCTTAGCAATTTTGTGACATAAGCCGGACAACATATTGTATAAGCATCCAGTAGCATGACACGGCCGAGATAAGGCCAAGCGCTACCCGAGTCCCATGTCAAATGCCGCACGAAAGGGCCGAAAGAGACTCCACTACGGCAACTCCAGGCAATCGGGAAACCAGATGAAATCAAGGGTCCAAGGGTCCAACGCTCGTATCATGCCTCCCGGGGACCATAATTATCAACGCTAAACCCAATGGATTCGGAGGTTGATTGAAACGCCGAAGACCCGAAATGCCAGCCACTCGGCTATTATCTCGTATCAGATCAACACAATCTAATCGGCAACCCGGTCGAATTGTGACAGTTGATATCACCACAGCATACAACCGGGTTCGTCTAAAATCATGCCATGTTTAGCGACGCGCGTTCTAAAAAACAGACGATACGTCATCTAATCCTGCGTCTTTCTCCACCAGGTTTCCCCATCATGTCATTGGTAACATTGAAAGAATTGGGAGAACTGACGGACCCGAAACTCCAACCACGGTGAACCACGTGTTTATCGCTCGACCACTCTCAACGACGCACTTATTTCTTAAAGGTACACAAACTAGATGGCCCGCGTTGGCAACGCTTCTTAGCATGTCGCTGAAGTAAACACTGGTTTAACCTTTGGCAGCACACCACCATCTTCGGATTTGTGGCGAGCACTAAGATTGTTGATTTACCTGTTAAGGGTCATTCGTGTTAAAAAGTCCTTTTCGAAAACTAAACAGATCGTTCAAGTATTACGCAATTACGTTGCCGTTAAGCGCAGGGCGGGGCATGTTATTATTGGAACATTGCCGTTAGGGACGCTTCAATTAAAGTATGACTTGGCATTGCTTTGACAATGCCGTTGATTCTAGCTATCTCTTCATACAAGGTTCATGCGATCCTCCTAGGCAAAATACATAAACAAAATTAACAGCTGTTACAATCACATACGACCATAGCCGCTAGATCATCAAATCACGATCCCGTCCGATCTCGTACGATAAACTAGCGAGCGCTAGATTAGTAGTTGGGTCGGTGACGACCAGCGAATACCTGGTGTTGTATGTTTTTTTTGATGTTTTTTGCGACATCACTCCCGGTCCTTGGAGTAGCTTCACTCAAGCATTACTTTGCTCACGAGAAAAAGATGGTTTGACTCTCTCCCTCGTTCATTCTAGGGATAATTATCTGCCAAATTATTTTTGCCTTCAAAACATCCAAGTTCAATTTAATATAATCCCGTCAGATTCTACAGCAAATCTGTAAAATTCCCCTAGAAGAAGCGGCAATTGAATTAAACTAAACTTATCAAATGCATATCGAGCAAAAAAGTCATGGAACCCTCGAACCAAAACTAGGCTTTCCCAGATGTCCCTTCACCCGCTCCAGCCCAGGTTTCATCCCACGTCTCCGCCGCGCCGTCCTCAGCAATCGCCGGCACAGCAAAGGCAGTGATGCGCGCCCAACTCGTCGAACTCGTATTCCTCCAAGCGTGATTGACGGCCCTCTGCACGGCCATGTCCCCCGGCAGGAGCCGTCTGGTTTCTCCCGAGTTGAGAATCAACTCGACTTCGCCCTCAATAACAAAATTATAATTCAGGCTAATGGTCCGATGCATGGGTGACGTGTATCCAGGTGGAAAGTCGACGAGTCTCGCGACACATCCGTTGGGAATGATGATGCCGGGCGGGTTCTCAATCTGGTCTTGATAAGTGGCAATGTCGCGCTCGCCAGCAAAGTTGGGCGGCGTTTGGTTCGTTCCGTAGCAGAAAGCGATCCGCGAACCACCGTATGACAGCTCAGATGGCGGGCTCTCTGAGAGCGTCTTGGAGTATACGGCCTTGCCGTCGCGATTGGTGGTGATGAAGCGCGAGGTTGGACGGAGAGGGGACTCTGTGGAGGGAGGCGAGTCTGCAGCTGGCATTTTCGAGTTCATCTCATCAACTTTTCCATGTGGATTTCTCTACTGCTATTCTCTGGCGAACACGGTGAAGGTATGCCATGGGGTTTGTGCCTTTTTGTGTTTATCGTTTATATTGCTATGGGCGTGGTGAGAATAATCCGGATATGCCGTAGAATTCTCTCGGTCACTCGGACCGATCAAACCCCTCGGGATTTCGGGAACGTCTTATCAATCTGGAGGTTTGCATCCATGAACCCTGTACAGCGGGATGAGTGGAGATTGTTCAATTGAATGTTCTTAGCTACGTCAACCCTAGATCGTACTAATGCTATTTCCCATGCCCTTCCATGACAGTATAAGCTAGTGGGTTTTCCATTCATAAGCTGGGCCAGTACTATTTCCATCCAGTCAAGCCTTCTCATTGTAATGCTGTGTCATGTCACAATTGATGTTCATCTATCCAAGTCATTAGCAGCAACGAGACCAAAAAAGGGGCCGAGTTACCTACCAGCTTCATCTCTTCGAGAATCTCGGGCTCTGTTGCTGCTCGTCTTGCCTTGTTGAAGAATGGATCCGTCCATTGTATAGATTCCGGCTCATTCCATATGCGCCTGAGATTGGCAGAAGAGACAGGGTCGACAATATCCCGAAAGACTTGGCGTCGGGCCTCGTCATACTTGTCGAGTATGTCCATGTTTGCCTTGCCTTCATGGATCCCGTACAAGCATTCAGCCAGCGATCCAACATCCGATATTCCGCCCGTCAGGCCAAGTCCACCCCTACAATCGATTAGCGTCCCGGACTTTCACCAAAGGTCCATGATACCGACATTGGATTGCAAAGGTGGGCAGCATCTCCCACGAGAAGCACTCTGCCGACTCTCATCTTCTCAACGCATCGCTGGTGAACCGTGAATGGGCTGAATCGGACGATTTCGTAATCGTCGGGCTTTGGATGCCCCGGCAGGATCTTTTCAAACTTCTCGGGCAGACGGGCTCGGAGTTGTTCTGGAGACAAGCCGATTGGTTCACCATACACAACCCTCCACAGCTCCGTGTCTTCGGCTCTGGATATACAGCATACCATGGCCCAATACTGAGGGTCGACTACCCACTGGACATCGGACCAGTTGAAGTTTGCCATTTTATAGTGGACCTGCCGAGGTGCATTAGTTCCGGTGTCAGTCATGAACGACGGGGCTGGGGTCTGGTGTTTGGTCTGACATTGGTGACTACGAGCTGCTTGTCCCAGGTGAATCCGGGGAAGTCGTCACCAAACAGCGACTTTCTGACGACACTCTTGGCCCCGTCACAGCCAATGACAAAATCCCCCTCGATGCGTTTGACTTCGTCCCCCGACTTGACACGAACCCAGGCCGCATCATCCGACTGGCCGACGTCGATGACGGCGTGGGACATGTGGACAGATGCAGTCTCCTGCTGCAAGACGCGTTCAAGGAGCAGATTAGAAAGCAAATGGACTGGGTAAAGCAGAGGCTTGTCCGGACTTTGACCATCACCTTCTATGTGAACGAGAATCTCGCCGCCCAGTTTTCTCCACGACGTGGACGTTATATCCGAAGTAATGTTTCGGATTTCTTCCAAGACGCCGGCCCTGCGCAGAATTCTTCTGGTCATCAGCCATGCCCTCGATTCGAACCATGATTTGGTCCAGGACCAGGGGGGGCGTAGTTACCGTGTGGCTGAGGGGCCATATGCAAGTCCTCGAGGCCTTTGGTCCACCTCGGCTTCCGCCTCGACGACCTCGACAGTGATGCCCTTTTTGGCCAAAAGAAGAGCCAGCAGAAGCCCCGTCGGGCCGGCTCCAACCACAATAACCTTTTGAATCGGTGCCATTTTTCGTAACTGATAGATTTGAACTGTATCTACTGTATAAGAAATGTACCAGACGGGCAAAACCCGAGTATTTATAAAGCGCAAAAAGACAGCGGCCCAACCCGGCCAGTGGCTGAACAACTCGCCCGAGTAATGCCTCCCATTCTTCCCACAACTCCGAATGAAACGCTGATCCGCCACAAGTGCCCACAAGACATTTAGGACCAAGAGTTTGGACATGCGAGTTAGTATCGTCTTCCACTAGTACGAAGCTGCCAAGAGCTAGGAGGGTATATTAATAAGCGGCATCTGAAGAATGTTCGATACCGAGCCGTTATTCCTCCGTATTTCTTTCATGACTCAGCGGCTCAACTTACTAGTTAGCCATCGTGACGAGGGAGATGACTTCAGGCTTCATCGGCGGCCATGGCGCGGAAAAGCCATGCCATGACGTCGAGAATAGCATCTCCGCTTCCAGCTGCAAGAGAAAACTCCGAAGATGCGACTGACGTTGCATTTTACGGTTGCAATGATGCAGGCTGACTCCCGTCCTTTGGTGTTTCACTCATCCAGTCACCGTTTATCCCTCGACGAAGATTCCTCCATATGACGTGGTCGCCGGCGATATCGAGGGCTTTGGCTTCAGTTTGCCGATGGCTTGCCAGCCACCGGAATTACATTACGAATGAACCTCAAATGTGGTCTCATTCTTGCATACGGATTCAAATTCGATCAAGGACCAGTCCGCTGAGTAACTGACCCGTGACCATTTCCATAGTGATGTTCGTCCTAGACCACGAGGACAAATCAAAAAGGTTCATCTCACAGCCGACAGTTGGATTTAATTTCCGTCAAGATATTCAATACACCTAGATTCTTTTCCTTGCAAGCAATCACCGTAAAAGCGAAAGAGGGACAGATAAAAATCCTCTATTCATTCTGACATGCAGACTTGTCATACAGTCCAATTCAAGATGCCATCAACTACACTATCGAAAGTTCTCACGAATGCTACATAGTTTTCAATCCGATCCCGGGCCTTTGCTTCTTGGCCCAATCTCCACCCGTCTCTTTAGCACCACCTCGCTCTCGCCACTCTCAAGCCGCCTGATGAGATCTTCAGGATCGACATCCGTCCCCACGGGGTTCTCTGCAAAAGATGCACTCTTCATAAACGCATCCGTCTCGTGGTTGGTGTCGAAATTGTCCGCCTGCAGCTCGATGACGTTGCCATCCGGGTCTTTATAATAGAGACTAATGGTTGGGCCGTGGTTGACGGACCAGAAGGGCAGCATGCCACCCCTTTGCCGGTGTCTATAGGACAGGAGCAAGTCGGAGAGAGTGCTGTAGGCGTAGGCAAAGTGGTCCACGCCACAGCTTGCTTTTACTTTGGGACTCAGGTCCGGATGCTGGACGAGCGCCAGGCGGTGGTGTTCGTCGTCATAGGTAATAAATGTAAGAGAGTCGTTTTCGTGAACAACACGCGCGCCGAGAAACTCGATATAAAAGGCCCTCATTCGCGGCAAGTTGTTCGTTCGGAGGACAACGTGGGCAAAAGCGGAAGGGGGTAGGACTTTGCCATCCCACTGGTTGAAGTTGTTGACCATGTTTACTTGATATTGGTTGCTATGAGAGTTATTCTTTGGCTTTTCGTTGGAGATGAACCCACATCCGTCAAGACGACAGCAGTGGTATTTATATTGACCGTTGTTGTGTGTCGGATGTCAAACACGGAGGTGGATTTACATCCGACGCATCACCGTCGAATCCCTTGTTGTCTCAGCAATGATACAAAGCTGGGAGACTTGCCTCCTGGTTTTGTCAACGACATCTTGGTGCTTCACATGACAGACTGGCCTTCTTTATCCGAATACCACCTTGGACACCGCATTGACATGGTTTAAGCCCCATGGGGAAGCCGGTATTTTCTCCGGCCGATGGCGACTGACTTATTCCCGATTCTGCGGGGTTACTCGGCAAACCGGTTCCCTCATCTGACGTCTCGTCTCCGCGCGGGGAAACCAAGCTAGATCAACACCCGAATCGGCTCTATCTACGGGGATGCCCTGTTCACAGCCGTCTCACATTGTGTGGAGCCCAAGCAACATGTCATGGATAGAAATATACGTGTTCGCGCAGTGTTGGGTCATGCCTTTACTACATTCATGCATATTGTATAGTAATCGCATAAATCACAATGATGCCAGTGTTTCAACGCCTTGTGAGGTTCATTGCCTCGGATGGCCAGATCTATTACGGCGAGACAGGGGATGACTGGCAGTCCGAGTTGGTTGGTAGGACTGTCAAGGTATTCACGGGGCTTGACCCTTGGGCTCCGGACTTTGAACTGTCCAACCAATTCGCCACGATTCAACAAGTCCGTCGTCCTTCTCCCTTGCCAGACTACTGTTGAGAAACTCTTCTAACTGTTACCAGGTAATTTGCCCATTGGACAAGGTGCCCAATGTGCTTGGGATAGGGCTCAACTACAGGCTTCATGTCAAGGAAGCGGGTGTAAGATGAAGCTACTGCCGTCCATGGAGTAGAAAGCAACCTAATCGTTCGACTTTTAGTTTCCAATGCCTTCAGAGCCAGTGCTCTTCAGCAAAGCAGCGGGTGGGTTCCCAAGGGCCTACCAACATGTACACCTCACTGAATTCTCCCAGACTCACTCGCCGGGCCCTACGAGGACGTGCCATGCCATCCAGTCGCAAAGGAAGTCGACTGGGAGGGCGAGCTATGCCTCGTGATGGGGCGGGACGCCAAAAACATTCCAGAAGACCAAGATCCGCTGAGTTATGTTTTGGGCTACACTGTCGGCAATGACGTGTCGTCTCGGTATTGGCAACGGCCGGAGAGATGCGGCGGGCACTTTAATTACGCCAAGTCCTTTGACAAGTTCTCTCCCGTCGGTCCCGTCATAGCGTCCTTGCAGGCCGTGGGAAACCCGGAGGATCTGAGATTGCGCACCTGGGTCGGGAACGAGTTGATGCAGGATGGCAAAACGAATGACCTTATTTTTGACTTGCGGAGAATCGTTCGCCACTGTAGCAACGGTACAACATTGAGAAGAGGGACTATAATAATGACGGGGACTCCAAGGTATGAAGCATGATATCCGCTGTGTATTGGGCCTTGATTCTAATCGTCGCAGCGGGATTGGGGCCACGATGACTCCTAGCAGGTTTCTCAAGGACCAAGATGTTGTGAAGATTGAAGTGGAACGCATTGGTACCATCAGAAATAAAATGGTTTTTCAGTGAATCGAGGGTATCGAAATATGCGGTATACTCCTTTGGATGCGTCTGTCTCGCGGGTCAATCTTCAGGCCCGGCAGTCATTTTTTGCGATCTAAACAGTACCAGAGTTTTCGAGGTACATCGAATAGACTGTGACAAGTAAGCATATTTCAGGATAGCTATGGCTTTGCCTATCGATTTCAGTACGTATACTAGATAAATGGAAATACTAAGTCCAAGAAGCTATTGGCCCTGGACACTGTGTATGGCAGATGCAGATGGATCTCTACTACCAAATTGAGACCATGGACTCGTTATAGCACTGCTAAGCCCAGCTGCATCAAGCAACATCCCATCTCCCTCTGTACTGCTTTGCGTTGGGCTAGTGTTGTGTATCCAGCGTATTTTGTTACGCACAAATGATGGGACCATGGGACTTTTATCGCGCCGTGACCAGTAGTTCATCGGAACCCGCAGTCTCCTTGAATGAGCAGAAGCCACGAATCTAGAAAAGGGGGGGAAATAGCAGGGTATACCGTCCTGCATCTCACATGAAGCTAATATAGAAAAGTATGGCTAGGAGGCATTGACGTTGTCTTGGGCCTTTAACACGGTTGACAAATTTCGCATCACTTGTCGACATCTCACAAGCACCAGTTGTCTCTGAAAGGGCTAAAATCACCAGAGCATCCGCCTCCATCCGGCAGCCGAAGGTGTCGCTCGACTCGAATACTCCAGACAACGGGGGCTACGCTTTCAGGGGCCACATCATGCCGCCACGAGCTATTTGCATAGACATGGACCCAAATAAAAGATACAAGCGCAGATGGGCTCAAAGAGACCTACAATGTAATTTACGATCAAGATGACTGAGTGTATTGTTGACTATGATGTCCTACCAGGCTACCTTTTCTTAACTTTGAGCCTATCAGCCAAGCGAAGTATAGCCATGTACGGCAAAGAGTGCCCACGCATCAATTTCCCACCCATGTAACTCATAAGGAGTGTTCCAAAATCCCAGTAGCGTCCAAAGCTCCTCAAGGGAAATACATGTCGCCGTTTGCCCATTCTCAAGAGATCACGGCTTCAGCCGCCCTCGCCACACCAACACTACCTGTAGGCAATTCGCACACCACTAAGAGCATTCGTATAGGTGACGTAGGTATTATCGTAAACCCCGACAATCTCAAACCCCTGAACAGTACCCGGGGGCTTGCAAGGCTGGGGAACAGAGAGCCCACCATACGTAGCCTCCCAGTCGGCCCAAGGCGTAGCCGACTTCTTCCAGCGGCCGAGGTGGTTATTGCGCTGGTTACCAGGGGGCCAGCCAGACGTCTTGCCAGGGGCGACGGAATTGCTCGAGAAAATGTCCAGCCTGCCGCTCCCGTCCCAGCGGGAGGTTGCGTCTGCGGCTTGGTCAAAGTTGAAGAACAGTTGGCACTGCTTGCCGTTGGTGCCGGCGGGGTATTTAAATGTCAAGAGGGTGGTCTTGTCTCGCCCCCCGTTGGTCGGGGACTTGAAGACCAGAGCGGTGGGCGAGAGGTCGCTGATGGCGCCGTTGCTGACATCGTAGATGTAGAGGTTGGACGGGGAGAAGACATTGGTCCAGCCGGGGGGGACTTGGGCCAAGGCTGAAGCCGCGAGGTAGATGACGGTGATTAGTAGACGGGTCATCATTCTGTCGTCGTGATGAACTGGCTGTTTGCACATGAGTTGGGTGGTGAGTTTATGGTAGGACGGAAGTGATATTTTGGAGCGAGCACACTCACATGATGGAATATTGGTATAAATCTAAGCTTGGACAATCTACAAGGTAAATGAAGCTATATTACTGATTTCGTCTCCCTCATGGTCTAAAAATAAGGTCTGTAACGGCGCAATGAAGCGCTGCCTTTACGCGGAGCCCTCTTCCAAATTTAGAGTCCTCATCCCCATTTGGCGCAGCAAGCCCTGAATAATGGACCGCGACATATCTGATGGCCTCCATTCGCCCATTACCTGTAAGCCTCGAGGCGGGGGATTGGTGGCGTTGACATAGTATGGAGGCATGGCCAGGAAAGGCTTGCGGCTGAGAAGCGGATTCGTGATACATTTAAAGATAATAATAGCCTCTAAGCCTACGACCCGACAAGGTTTGGTGGCGGCGGCAATGTGATGGTGTTGCAGGGCTGAATTGCCGGCAACAGTATCAACCGTTTCTGAACTCATAATGGCTTGTGCTACTGGACTCTAGATTTGCTAATACCAGTGGTCTTTTGCCCGCTTATTGGAGTAGCACCCAGCTTGCAATAGCAGTGATTGGAAACGTGGAACCTAACCTAGCCTCGCCTCGATCCGGGCTGCTCTCATGGCTAAGCCAGGATATTCAGAGGCCTCCAGATATCTCGGCATTTCCCTGGCCACAGGGGTTCTGAACATGTGCTAGTCGTCAGCGTCATGACGAAAGGTGCTTCATTCTGCCTGAGTAGTCCGGTCACGTTTCCTCAGTGACACAATTGCTAGAGGCCGCCATATTGACCAGCATGTAGGAATTATCCGAGTTCTCAGTAAGGCTTTTCACACCCATCATCGACGCTGCCCTTATAGTCTGGTGGATAGAGAAACAAGACTCGAACTATTATCAGTTCTCAAGGCCCCATGAGAACACGGGGGTATATAAATTGTCGCAAGTTGGGCGCTTTGAAACAGTGACGACGTAGTTGAAAATGTCAACTGGTCTAATAAATGTACTCGCATCTAGCCCATGCTGCAATGAAATGTCTGGTCAAGCTACACAGCCAGCGAACAAAGCATCAATTCGACAAGGGTGGTGGGTGAGGAGCAACGGAGAATCTGCTTGACTTTCCATCTCTCTTTTCTCGGCTTGTCTTTTCTTTCTTTCGATGATGCTGCAGTCTTGTTTTGGTCAAAGACGGGTCAATGGACCATTTGATGTCGTTTCGAATGAAGCATGTGCTCACAAAGCCTTTCGGCCAGGCAGCAAAGCAAACAAACGCAGTGCCTGCATAATGTCGTCTGGTCGCTTCAAAGCGCCAAGCGCAAAATGGCCCAAGAAAACGGCACTTGAGGCCGCAAACACGGCGCGTACCTGGACGTCCTTTGTTCTGATCAATTCCTCAGCATCGATTGATGGTCCGTCATGTGCCGCCGTGCGATTGACCCCGGACAAAACCTTTCGTACTGCGAACACGCTTGACACTCTGTAGCCCAAGCATGCCTGATTCTTTGCCGCTTTGAAGGCACCATGAGCTGCCCCAGACACATGGCAGGCTCACCGCCGGCCGGGATGCGCTGTTCATCGACATTTGCATCAACATGAATGGCTTTCTGCGTGTTTTATCAGGTCAATGTGCTAGCATTTGCAGCATTCACGTACAATTTGGCCAAAGGCAATCCGACCTTGATTGTCCCTCGAAGCTGCGGGCCGTGTATCATCTGCCCAGACAACATTGACAGTCATTCTTTCCTGCTCAGGCTTTGTGTTTCTCAGAACTTCTATCCCGTTTGCAAGGCACCGACAACTGATAAAAGGTCCCAGTGCCGGAGAGACAGCTACGTGCACCTACTTCCATCATCAACTATCCACGAGCAGCGAGTTTCCCACAAACCTTCAAGTGTCAACTGTTTCCTGCGAGCGCCAATCACCAAGATTATATTGACAGCCAACATCCCTCCTTCCAAGCATCATGCCCAACGACATTTCATCAGATGCCGCAACCGCATCCGGCTCGCAAGCAAAAGCCAAAACGCTCCAGTCTGAACCATCTTCCACCGCAACCACCGCCTCACAGCAGGCGACGAGTCATCCCACCAAGAACCTGCGATGTATTGACAACGACGTGAAGTTCATCCAAAAGCACGCCGAGCAGGGGACAACTCACCTCGCCCAGGAACTAAAGTGTCTTGACAGCGACCCCAAATTCGCCGCATCCCACGGCGCACAGGAGCCAGCAACTCCCACGAAGAAAAAAATTCGGTGCATCGACAACGACCCCAAGTTCGTCCAAAGGCATGGCAAGCAGCCTTAATTCCAAGAGTTGCAACAACGGCACAAGAAACCAACAGCGCATTTCTACGTGCCCGAAATAAATACACAGAATCCAAACTGGTGCCGGCCCGTCGATATCGAGTTGGCCATGGGAACCCCGACCACGCAGGGCGGCAAGGGCCAGAGCACAACAGGATACCGGGGATACATGTATTCTTATGCGGACGGCGACGCCATGGTCGGGTTCTGCTGCTCCGCGACGCAACGGCCGACCCAACAGCCGTCGTCACATGCGGTCCAAGCAAATAGGTTGCATTAAATGGAGTGCATGGAGAACGCGAGGGGTGCATCACAGCGTTTGGGAACATGTCATTGCGTCATTTTTTTGGACGGGTGATGCTGGATACTTTCTTTTTCGTGGTATTTGTATTTCTTGCATAGTATCGACATGTCAATTCGAGCCAAAGCGTCACCAAAAATCCCGCTCGCTGCGTAGTGTCCTAGAGTCGCATGTCCTCTGTAAGCGCTGATACCATGGCGTCATGAACCAGCTTGATGTATCGAGTATTGCCTTGTACCAGATCCAAATACTCCCTCGGTATGGTGAATAGGTCGTTGGGCGTCCGCGGCACACAGGGCCCGAGGCAAGAGCTTCCATTGATGACCGTTGAACTACCGTCCTCGTCTAGCAGAACCACATGCTCGGTTCGCATCGTGACGGACCGCTCGGCGTCTGGGTCTGAGTCTATCCGACACTGTCAAGTTGCTTCTCGTCGCCCTTGTCCAATGCTGACCTCCCTCGACCTACTTGATCTCCTCTGGGAATGTAGCCGCAAGGGCATCCAATCTCCCCAAGCGCTTCGACATCATTTCAGGGCTACATCACCAACGGGAGCAAAACTTGTCAGCGCGGCTCAGTCATTGTCGTTGACAATCTGAAACCGTCTCCGCCGTCCCGCCTGTCCATCCAAATTTGTAATACCTAGCCGACGCTGGCACAACTACCGATGGCAAAGTACCCACCAGCCAAAACCGGGTTTGCCCACCAACCCTCTTTAACAGCTCCCCACGACAGCCGTACTAGTTCGCGATAGTGCGGGATACGACGCCGCGCACTCTTTGACTCCGGATATCCGCTCCGGCCGTCTTTCTCGGCCACGGCCGAACAACCCCACGAGCCGACAGGGAGGCGAGCCACGCCCAGATCGGGCCAAATGCACGGGTTAAAGCGAGACCATCTGGGCTCGGGGGCTTTGACACACGGGGATATGAGTATTGTCGTCCGGACTTGGCGTCACCACGGAACATGTATAAAGCCCTGTGCGCGCTTTCGGGCAAAGCGACCGCGTACACCAAGTTTTTACACCAGAGCCAGTCAATGCCCATCCCTCGTCCCAGAATACGGCTTCATCGTCCCCTCCCCGTAGCATCGCCCTCGTCGACACGCCTCACCAAGCATGGCCTACCGCGGCTACGATCCCGACAAGCACGTCCCGGATCTTGCGGGCAGGGTCATCCTCGTCACGGGCGGTACGTCCCACGCGCCGGCAACCTCCCACGCCGCGGGCGGCATCTAACCTCCCCAGGAACCGGCGGGCTCGGCAGGGAAGCCGTGCTCGAGCTCGCCAGGCACAACCCGGCTCGCATCTACTTCACCGGGCGCAGCCGCCGATGCGCCGAATCCCTCGTCGCCAAGTGCTCGACGCCCGAAACGCTGGGCTCGCCCAGTCGCATCACCTTTCTCGAGTGTGACCACGCCTCGCTCGACAGCATCCGCGCGGCCGCCGACACATTCACCGCCTCCTCGTCTCGTCTGGACATTTTCATCGCCAACGCGGGCATCATGGCGGTGGGGGCCGGGGTGACCAAGGACGGGTATGAGGTGCAATTTGGCACCAACCACGTCGGCAATGCCGCTCTGGCGCTGCGTCTGCTTCCCGTCATGGAGCGCACCGCCCAGCAGCCCGGCAGTGACGTGCGCTTCGTGGCGCTGACGTCGCTAGGGTACCGCGGCCATCCCGGCGCCGGCATCGAGTTCAACGGGCTTCGTGATGCGGACCAGTTCCCCGTTTTGGGGCCCTGGGTGCGCTACGGCCAGTCCAAGTTGGCCAACATCCTGTTTGCAAGGGAGCTCGGCAGGCGTTATCCCAAGATTAGCAGTATCGCTGTGCATCCGGGAGTTGTTGGGACTGATCTGGTCAACAACTTGACGTTTTGGAACCGGCTGATTGTGCGGGCTACCAACCCTCTGGGGTTGATGACGCCTCGCCAGGGGTGCTTTAATACGCTGTGGGCGGCGACGGGGAGTGACGTCGGCGACAAGATGCGAGGTGGTGCAGGCACGATTTGCAGCAAGAGCAAGGTTGCATTCTTTGTGCCCGTCGGTGTTGCTGACGCGGGTGATGCCAAGTGTTGGGATGATGAGCTGATGGTCAAGCTGTGGGACTGGACTGTGAGCGAAGTCGGTGTCAAGGGGTGAAGCATGAGACCGTTGTAGTGCAATTCGTTTGCATGGTTTGGCGTCTAGGTACTATATTCGTATTATTCGTCTGTGGCCTTCCCGCATAGCTCTTCGATTTCCTCCTGGCCTAAATGTAGTTGGTTAGTTTGCTAGGCCAGTGTTAGCATTCTCGTTCATTCTCGCAACCTCTTGGCGTTCTGCGGACAAAGTAAATTGCTCTTAATTCTAGTCGCCACCGAACCTCATCGCCTTTTTGCAAAGGTGGCCGACTCTCGTTTCATTCGATCGAATACATATGTACAAAAATGTTTCCCACATTTTGTTCCATCATTTCCACACTGTCGCTTCGGTCCTGCCCCGTCCTCCCCCATCTGGACAACTATTTCGAGGGTGCAGGAGAGACGGCAAAGGTCGGTCGGACGAATCGACTAGTGTCAAGGGTTAGCACACTCAGCAGTTTCGGCCAGAATTCTCATCGCCCTTGACGCACCTCTCGTTGTTGTAGACCTTGGTGTTTTCGCCCAGCAGCTCCTTCTCGCGCTTCTGGTCGGCCCAATATCTTCGGACTTGGTCGCGGTCTTCTTCGGCTTGCAGGAGAGGGATCAAGTTGATACGCGCCCACATCTTCTCACGGGCCAGCTCGCTGTTCCAGTCAGCATGTCTATTCCTTGTCGCAAGTAATTCCGGCTAAAGTTCGATCGACGAATTGGATCGGTGGTCAGGTGAAAGTCTCAAAGATCGCAAGCTCCAGCGATAAATCGAGATTGGGTGTCCGCCGGTCTTGCGGGAAACGTACTTGGCTTCACGGATGCCTCCAATCAGCTTATACCAGCCGAAGCCCATCACCGCTCCAACTCCGAGTAGCAAGATGCCGGGGCGAAACCCTTTGGCAGGCAGATTTCGCTACTGTCCATGTCAGCACTGTGCAACGTTTAGTCCGGCTTGAGCTTCGGAATGGCCAATTGCTCGTCAATTCTCATCGCCGAGGCTTCCACAGGATTCGGTCCGATAGGCACCAGGCTATGGAGCAACATAGCAGAGCTTCGAGGTCACTCCTTGCCCGAGATTTTGACAGAATAACGCAAAGTTCCTCATATATTCCTTTTCGCCCACGCACCTTGTACTGGACGGGTTCGTACCCGCCCCTTGGGGGCATGTCCTGCGCCATTGTAGCGAAAGCGTATGTCGGGGATCGGTCCAAGCTGATGACGACAGGTGTCAATTAGACAAATCGGAAGCACTAAGTTTCGTGGTCACGCACGGAAGTAGGTGAAATCTCGCAGGACACCGGCCTGGCTCCGAAGGTATGATTAGTCGCCCTGGGTAGGTTCGTGATTGTTCGGAGTGGACTTGAGGCGATTGTTTTGCGTGAATCATGACTGGCTAGGTACGATTATGTAAGGAGTGGGGCAATAACAACCTACCCTATCACGAAAATGTGATGCCGTAAACGGACTGTACAAAGACATAATTTTTCTTTCGGGCGATTATCGTGGGAAATAAAGAAGGGAAAAAACAGAGACCCTGGCACAATAACTCATTTGGCCCTGACTACGGTGTTGCTCAAGTTTTTGGACGCCTTTAGCTGACCCTGACCAACAGACTTTTGTGATAGCTTTATTTGATCCAGAAAAGGGCATGTTGAAGTAATCACGTTGTTTTGTTTCAAATCCAATTTCGGTGCTCCAAGAGATGGTATAATCGTAAAATATGCATCTATTTATTTGTGCTCTGTCATTTCCCATGGATTTCATGGGTGTACACTGTTGTAACAGATCCATCTTCAAAGCTCCCCAAGTACATAGGCTAGCCGCACTCAACAAAACATGTCAATAGCATCACCTCGCAGCCTGCGGAGTAGCTGTCCTACTGGGTCCAGTTGAACCAAGCCCATTCCCATTTGCTTTGGCGGCCATGGCAGCCCCAGTGCTCGCTGTCCTGGACACCGAGGGCCTATCACAGGGCAGAAACACTTGTCCGTTGGCATGCTTTCTCAAGGGCCGCGTATTGGCTACCCGTTCCCAAATATCCATAAACTCATCTTCGAGCTTATCGTCATACGGGTCTCTCATCTCCCTCATGACGCGACCATTTGCGTCTCTCTGCGGAACGCCCTTGTCGTCACGGATAGTCTTCACATATAGATATGCGAACTCGGGCCAGTCCCACCATGGGGAGGTGAGGATCACAGTCCTCCATATCCCGTCCTCGTGGGCGGCTACAGCGTCTTCATATCGGGATGTCATATTGAAGCACAGTCGGTACCAGTCCATCATGCCGTACATGTCGGCGCGAGACCAACCGCCTAGGATCTCGCCGCTGGGGAGGACTTCTTGACGAGCTTCGACCCATGATACGAGCGATGGCCAAAAGGTCTTTTGTAGGAGTTCCAACTTGATAGCTTCAGTTATGTCTCTGTATCCAATTGGGTGGGTGAAGATGGGATCGGTATACGCCGCGTGAAGCCACTCCTCTTCGTGTTGGGCTGTCGTGCCCTCCATGGGGGATTTATCAGTGGGATATGGATACGGCCGCCACTCCATATTGCCTGCTTGTACTGTTTGTGGACGTCGGAATAGAGGGTTGAATGCTTTGCGGTGTGGCCTGGCCTCTGACATAACGGAGTCTTAATCTCTGATGGTTGACACGAGTCGCAATGGTGACATAATGCAAAAACGGCGCGACGGTGTCTAATGAATGATCCACGGATAACTAGACATTGAAAATGTGTATGGATTCTCAATTGGCGAGGGCATACCGGGCGGAACAAGTTGGAGATGAATCACAGTCAGGGTGATGGCGATCAATGTCAGCTCCCGGGATGAGGTGAATCTGCCCAGCTGGAGATGTTGGATGATCAAGGTTGAGAAAGGAGGAGAAGGCCAAATGTATTGCAGTCAAGGAGCTGTGTGAGTCAATCACACATGCTCCCCCGGAATCAGGGGTCTCCAAGTCGAGAGGAGAGCGGGCGGCGGCATGGCCGTTCGGGGGGGGGGGTTCTTCATCCTTAAATGACGCCAGCCGAATCGTCTTGGATTGCCTAGCCCAAGTTCCCAAAGCACACGCGACACCAAGCAAACACGTCTCCCTGGCTGGAGCGCCCGGACGGCAGGTTGCAGAAAGTCAAACCCATGTCTGTCTTAACCGGGCCGCAATGCAAGGCAATCGCAGTGTTGCATCTTGAGGCTAAGATGTGAACGGGGTAACGGGCCGTGATTGGGTGCTTGGCAGCAAAAGTTGGGTTTTGTTGGCGGCAGCGCCACGCCAAGCTAGTACACTGGCTCTGGGCACCACAAGCTGGGGACTCGAGCGCAGTGGTTGGGCCACCTCTTTGGGGCCGCCATGGGGCCATGGGGAGAGCATGCAGATCGGAGGCCAACCATGGCCGGGACTTGGGAAATATCATTATCCATGGGCGTCTGGGCAAGACGAGAAAGGTGTCAGCTTAACTGCGATGCAAAAGCAAGTATACAGCGGTTCCATGGAAAGGTCGCAAGGTCCAGCGTTGGACGCTGCTCACCGCCACGAAGCATCCTGGGGCCATCTCGGTGTCATTATTATCCATGTCTACTTCGTATTCCTCTCCAGTCTGCGTGTACAGAAAGCTGCCCAAGAGAAAAGGAAGAGTGCCGAACTGCGGTGAGAATATGCCTCATCCTGGCGCTGCCTGCTCAATGCAACCCCCCAGCGAGCGAGTCTGGGGGACGCAGGCAGGGTGTTGCCACCGAATAGCCTGCGCGGCGGATGCATGTGATGACCAGCGTCTCGAGTCGTTTACTGGCGTCAAGCCGATTGAGGTTCCCTGACTTTGGTGTCCTCAGCTCTTGACGTCACTTGTCACATCCAGTCTGCTGTTGCGGGCCTGTTGCTTGAGTTGACCCGCTAAAAGCCGGCGGGGTCAAGAGGCAATTGACTCTTGCACGTTGGCTTGCGGACGGCTGCTGAGAAAAGAAAAGAAAAGAAAAAGGCGTGACATGACAACCGCAAGGCCATTAGCAGGATTGATTATTGGAGTCAAAATGCAGCTCGAGGCGGGAGGGGGGTTGATTTCCACCAGGGGGAAACTGGGGAAAGAGCTGGGCATTGTGGGTTGCGCCTTCCCTGGGCAAATGATTCATTATTCACATGTAAATGCAAATGCAAATGCATAGCCAGGGCCAGCCGCTCTGGAATCCAACCCCTCAACCGTCGTCGATAGCAAGCTCTTTGGGCGACTTTGCGTCGTCGGGTTGCTTGGGCTGATCTGAGAATACTGCTCGACAGTTGGCATCGAAATGTGGCACATCAGAGGAAGCATCCAATGTCTGCCCAATGGCCATCTAGAAAACGTGGCATGCGCGCCGCCAGAGAATCGCCAAAGCTGCGAGCTCTCTGCATTCTGCACGACCATGCAGTTTCCGAGCCAAGTTTAGCCGCGGCCAAAGAATGGGAACTATCTACCGGGGGGTTCACGGACTGGACGGTCTAGAGCCATCACATCTCAAACTGACCCTGCTCGTTGTCCCCATCACCAGTTTGCTGACTCCTAACTACTCCCAGCGGATGACCGAGTAGATTCCTTCGACTATTGACAACATAACCCAGAGACGGCATCGATCCGCCAGAGCTCTCGGCTGGCTCCATCTGTCTCCTTGGGTCGGCGGCTTGTGGCTGGATGCGCCCCGGGATAACCAATCCCATCGTCGGGATACGCTCCATCGCCCGCGTTAGCTCTCAAGCTGACAGTAAGATCGGACGAGACGGTCGGGATTCCGTGCTGACTCTCCGTGCTGATTAGCAATCGAATATCCCGTCCAAGCGGCCATGCGATGCCAGAAATAAATATCTCAGCACACCTCATCCTGACATGCTGTGCTTGAATGCGTCTCACGAGGCTGCCGACGCCAATTCACATACAGCCACCCGACAGCCATAGACCATGTCGTGCCCAGACTGTTTCCGTGGCCAGATCCACGAGGGCGAAACCAAAGGCAAGGTCATCAAGCACTACGGATTCGACACGTACGTGAGCGAGCCGCCGAGTGGCACGACACCCAAGGGCATCATCGTCGTAATCCCCGACGCATTCGGCTGGGCGTTTCCAAATAACCGGATCCTGGCGGATACCTATGCCGAAAAGGGCGGCTTCAAGGTCTACTTGCCCGACTTTATGAACGGTAAGTTACGTCGTCGCGGGACTCCAAGGCGCACCCATTGCGCGATGCAGCTCGAATCACTGACACGCATCAGGCCACGCCGCGCCTGTATCCATGCTGTTCAGCATGCAGACCGCACTAGCCCCCGGCAATCTCTTCTCCCGCTTGTAAGCTCTCCGGACCACCAAATCGCCTACGTCACCATCCCGCTAACACAGCGCAGCATCGCCGCCGTCCAAACCATCCTGGCCGCTGTGCCCTTCTTCATCCGCTGCGCCCCGGGGAGGACGTACCCTGGCGTAAAAGGCTTCTTCGAGCAGCTGCGCAAGGAAGAGGGCCAGGCGCTGCCCATCGGCGCGGCCGGCTTCTGCTGGGGCGGCAAACACACAGTCACGCTTGCCCACGGCGCCGAAATCAACGGCCAGCCTCTCATCGACGCCGGCTTCACCGGCCACCCGAGCCTGCTCAGTCTCCCCTCTGACGTGGAAAAGATCAAGCGCCCAGTGTCGTTTGCATGCGCCGAGGATGACAACCAGATCTCGCTCAAGCAAGCCGAGCAGATCAAGGCAATCGTGACGGCCTTCCCAGAGCCGTACAAGGGCGAACTCCGTGTGTATCAAAAGACGGGCCATGGATTCGCGGTGCGTGCTGACCTCAAGGTCCCTGATGTCGCAGCGCAAGCAGCTGCCGCCGAAGATCAGGCCATTGCCTGGTTCACGTCTCACTTCTCGACGGCTACATGAAGTGAAGCGTAGTTTTGAGACTGCGTTACTTGGCACAGAAACGTGCCCAATGCCTTGTGTGCTTTTTTTTTTTTGGCAGCCAAGAGGTTGCAATGATACTGCATTGTGACTCCAATCCAAGCTAGTAGCTTCAAAGAGCCGTACTCTATAAAGAGCGCAATAATATTTAACTTAATCAACTCGGGATGCAGTGCTACTTGTTCAAACAAGCCAATGGCAATTGGCAGAACCTGGAGGCCCCGAATAGCAATTAACAAGCGGTTAAGTCTGCATTGTCGAGGTATTATTGTCTTGTCTATCATGCCGTGTAATCTATACTCGAAAGACTATTGTATGATGCAGCGCCGTACCCCTACCCAATACCAAATGAATCATGCGCTTCGTAAGTCTGTCCATTAGCCCAATATTCATTATCCCATTCATTCCGTCAGCCCCCACCTGCCATCCAATTCAATTATCAGTGTGTCCCGTACGGCAGGGGGGACTTGAGTTCAAATTATATAAAGGAAAAAAGAGAAGGAAAAGAAATTTCAATCCATCAAGACGATGCCTTGATTGCCTGGCTGCCCAAAGCCTTTTGTTTGCCTGCCCCGCCAAGCCCTTCACTCAGCTTCTTGGTGACCATGTCGGGATCTGGCTCATCTGACCCTATAAAAGTCCAGCTCTCTTCAGTGTCCTCGTCTTCTTCGGCGTCGGGTTGTCCGTAACGTCCAACCTTGCCCTTGATGAGGCTCTTTGCGTATTCGAGATCGCGGTATATGTTTTGAATAGCAGTGTCGACTCCCTTATCCTGTCCAAGCTGTTAGTTCCCCTGCGAGTAGTAGTTTTCAAGGGTAAAGCAGTACATACCTTGCGAATCTGCTCCCCGAGGACACGAGCTTTTACAATCATCCGCTCATTGCGCGTCACCTGCCACAGTGCTCTGCCAAAGCTGTTGGCACCCCATCGTCTCAAGCCAACACCAACACCAAGGTCCTCTACTCGGGTCGCAAAGAAGAACTGATCGCCGAAGAACGGCCGGATGATGGTAGGGATACCCGCTCGCAGACTTGCGCCGGTAGTTCCAGATCCGCCGTGGTGAGCCGCGGCGTCAATTTGACGGAACAGCCAGTCGTGTGGCGCGGACTTGATGACGAAGATTTCGGCAGGCATTTCTGGTTCATCCGGCCGAGGCTTGGCCGGATCATCCTTGGGTGAGATTCGATCAGACCAGCCCTTGGACAAAATGCAGCGAACGTCGGCCTTGAGCACTGCATCGATAACTTCTTGCGTCATCTTGACCGGGTCGTTTACGATAATAGAGCCAAAGCCGACGTATACAAGTTTCTTGCCATCGTCCCTAGCCTTTTGTATAAAGTCAGACAGTTCCTTTGGGGGCTCATATTCACCGCCTTCATCTAAGAACCAGTACCCTGTGATTCTGATCCAGTCGGAGAAGTCGAGAGGAGGAGCGACGACACTGGGGCTGAAGTTGTAGAGGAATGGTACTTTGTTGGGCTGCATCTTTTCCAAGCTCGTATTGGGCAGGCCAAGTGTCTTGTTGCGCCAGCGGTTGATTTGCTGTGCGGTGGCTTTCCAAAAGATATTGTCGAACATGACATAGGTCATGTAATTGTAAGCACCACCCATCTTGTGTTCGGGCATGATGAAGGCGTGAGGGTACGCACGGGTTCTGGTCCAAGGCATGGTGAAAGCCCTGAAGTACGGGATGCCAAGCTTTTCTGCAATGTGAATGCCCGCCATGGCAGAAGGGGACTCGATGAGAAGTTCCGAGCCCAGGCATGCTTGATATGCTGAATCAAGAAGCTCGTCGAGCCACCCCCTGAATGCTGAGTTAGCTTCGCGAAGGAATGAGATGGTGAAGGTGCCGTTTTCGATGCACAATCGCATAAGTTCGCCAGGATCACCCTCAACCTTGGCAAACTCGATTCCATGGGATTCGATCCAACCTTGGAATTCGGCGTGAGTCGCAATTCGAGGCTTGTGTCCCTCGGCAAGCAGACCCTTGCAAAGAGCAATGTACGGCTGGACATCCCCTCTCGACCCTATGGTCAGACAGGTGATCCTCATGGGTTGGGGTGGCTTAAAGTTGAGAAAAGAGCCGTCAGTTTCGTCCATGAGAATGGTTGGAGCATTTGGCTGTGAATCTGCCTCTCGAGGAGGTAGAATCTCGTGCTGGGGAAAGTCTTCCTGTCTAGCTGATTTGAGAGCATCTCGTTCGGCCATGGCCTGGTCCTCTTCCTCATGTTCCTCCAGGTTAAGGAGTCCTGCTTCCCTCAGATAACGGTTTGTTTCCAGACTTTGGATGAGAGTCACGGTACAGTCATCACGTACGTCGACCTGGCTAAACTCGAAGAAAAGCTCCTCATGGCCGCGAATGACGACGGTAAGACCCGAGTACCCGATTCGGAAGCCCTTTTCTTTATGGGCCGTTTCAATGTCCTTGAGCGGGAGAATCAACTTGGTTCTCGTGCCAGGTAGCAGGCTGCGAAAGCAGAATGATCTGTCACTGATGTAAATTTTGCCATACAGAGGCAGCACTCGGATGATGCACCCAAAATAGGTAGCTTGCAGCTTCTCGGACTCTGGCAGAGCAAAGTGAGCACGAAATCGCTCCATAGAGGTCTGGACCTTGCCTTCAGAATCCTCCTCTAGCTCGTCCTCGTCTGGTCGAAGTCCGGCGGGTTCTCCATAGTGCTTGCGACCACCCTTCCACATTCCTGAGACCTTCTCAACGTACCCCATAGACTCCGTAGCAAGAAGGGAGCTCATTCGTTTACTTGTTTTATTCAAGTAGTCGGCAAACGCACCCGCACGCTGAAGTGGGTATGATCCCATCTTGGTAATACTCTGAAGTGTGGGAGTAGTTGACCTAACTTGGTCGGCTTGACCATTATATCCAAACTGGTTGATATGACCGGTAGTCGCCGCATGTTTCATGGGTACCGAGGCATCAGGAAGAAAGGTTTCGGAGTGTTTGGACAATTCCTCCTCTCTAGCGTCTGCTGACTGACTTGATCCGTCGGAGCGGCGCATAGTTGGGCTGTGGAACACTTCGCTACCTTTCAGAATCTGACTTGCCGAGGGGTCCTCAGTGGCTACAGAAACAACCAAGTTGGAGAAACTAGGATCCTCTGTAGATGAATGCAAGTTTGAGTCGGACGATTCCATTATATGCCTGCCCCTCCTTTCATCAAACTGACGAGTGCTCTGCGTCTTTCGATGACCGCTGAAGCTCCTTCTGGCGCTCTGCTCACTCATCATACTGGACACTTCCTGGCTTCGTCGCCCTTTGTATCGAATCGCGTCTAAACTGGTCCTGGAAGAGCACTCTACACTGGCTCGCGGACTAGGATTTGCCGAGTGAGGGGTCATGGGAGAGAGCGTAGCCTTGACGGCTTCGGGTAACTTGGTCGTTCGGATCTTATCGACATGCATAGCCTGATGGGGATTGGATTCAACTGGATGAGGTGAGTTCTGTAGAGAGGGCTGGCTATTTGAGTTCTGCTCGGGTTGCTCGTGGCTTTGCAACTCTTGCTCAGCAATGAGCTTCCCTGGAGTTTGCTTTGTGGAAGAGGCATCTTCGACTAGGATTTTAAGAACCTTGATAGCTTCTTTTCCAAAGTTGAAGAATGAAAAGAAGTACTAAATGGGTTAGTGAATCATGTCTTTGTGGGTTGTAACAGATGGTGTACCCACCTCATCAATAGCATAAGTTTCATCGTTATCAACGACTCGAATTTTGCACGTGTCAGAAAAGTCCATCATCTGAGTCTCTTCAATATCAATCACATTGTCAATAGGCAATGAGATTTTGACGCTGTCGCCTTCGTTGTGGCTCCGGAAAATTACCCTTTGGAGGCTCTTGACCCATTCTTTGGCACTCGGGGCACTGTCGGCTTTGAAATTGTAGGTTCGATGACTAGTGATGACATTAAAATGTAGGTTGTCCTTGTCTTTATCCACAACGTTTGCAGAAATACCAAATCTCAAGTCAATCTGGCCATGGGGGAAGTAAAGATTGGTTGAATCACGGTAGTATGACAAAACATCTCCCTTTAAGCGGAACCAATATCGATGATACTTGGGATTGCGCTTGCCACTTTTTGATAAATAACCAGACTTGGCCACAACATGCTACGACTACTTAGCATTGGTCTCGATAGTTGGACGGTTGGAAGGGGGGCTTACAGCTTTCTTGGGAAGGTAGGCATAAAAGCAAATATGCTTGGCCGTGATATAGAGAAAGCCCTGGAGGAGCACGCTTTGTAATAACCAACATGGGTACTCTGGAGTCAACTATTAGCCAATAACCAGCAAATAAATACACAAGTATGAAGCAAAATCCAGAGTCATTACGGGGACGCGAGACACCTACCCTCTATGACTTGTTCTGGCTCATCAAACTCGAAAATTTCCATTAATCGCTTGGCCAACGCAGAAGATTCGTCACTGTCACCGCTCGCATCAAGATCGCTGGATCGCCTCTCCATATCGAAACTGGGTCTGCTGGCAATCTCAGCTCTAGCCTGCAGCATTCGGCTCATAACTGGTGCAAGCCTGTTGTCTTCCTTGTCCTGCGGCATTGCAGATGTGGCAAGGTCGGCAGATTCTCGTGCATCGTCCGACGAATCCATCAGAGGCGCGGATAATCGACTCGCTTCTCGGTTTTTGCTTTTCCGTTTCGGTAATGTGGAAAGTGATTTTAATAGTCTGTGGCCAGAGGAAAGCTTCTTCTTGTGACCCCGTCTGGCGTTCTTATCCCGCGGCGGAAGTATGATGGTCTGAGAAAGATCCTGATTGCCATTAGAGCTTTTTGATTGCTCACTGTCTTCCTCGTCGCTGCTCCCGTCGTCAAAGCGGGTGTTGAAGTCTACCCGCGAGCCTGCTGCTGCTATAAGACCGAATATACTCTGATTCATGTTGACAGACATGGCTCGGCCGCGTTTCGAGGCCGGATCGTTAGGCGAGTCCTCATCGTCGCTGTCGCTGTGTTTCAG